ATTTACAAATATTTTAATACACTGTAAAATTAAATAATTGGTGCACACTAGTCACTATACACAAACGTAATTATTTATTTTACAATTAGAACTGGATTTAAAGTTGATTAATTTTAAAAGTAATCAGATTTATTGAGTTTTCAGAAAATTTTATATACTATCATGATGTGTGACGAGTCACGAGACAATCCTTAATCTAAGACTTTATGTCAACTTCCCATATTATTAGTTACAAATAAATAGAGTACTTGAAAAATAAAGAAGAGGATACTGATGAAATTTGTATAATTGACACCAAAAGATTCGGAATGATATAACTTAGAAACGTGGGAAATTGTTATCTACAAGTTATATGCATCTTATATTCTCGATTGTGATTGGCATATATATCAATCAATCTTATAATGCATTGAACCCTATACTTCTTTTTGTTTATATAGTTTTTCTAGTTTAGACTTAATTGATATTTTTTAATTATCTTTTACCTCTTTAACCAAAAAATTATATGTTACCTCATAAAATGATATTATTTTTCATTGTTAATCTACTATAATTTTATAAATACGACGAATGAATCTAATATTCTGTAACATCCGAAAATTCGTCAAACAATTCCATTGATGATACTATATATAATGTATAACTTTTATTTTGTATCACATAGATCGACAATGAACAGTTTTATCGACTATGTTTGTTAAAACATGATTTTACTTTTAACATACGAGATCACGGCAAAAAATTCTACTTATACTATGCTAGATTACGATGACTGGATTTCTGGTTTTCTCCATTAGTGTTCTATAATATACGTTTCCAGGAATTTAAATTCTAAATATAATATACAAATACTATTAACCAATAGTCAATTCTTGGAATAAGATGTTTTCACTATATTTTATGTTCTTATAAAACATACTGTGATTGAAAAATTGTGTGAAATAATAATGGTTAAACTATAAATAAAAATAACAAGAAACTGTTTGTTTATAAATTAATATGCATGGCTGAAGAGTTTTAATTTATTTTGTAGAATCACATATACGAAATACTTTTATCATAACTGGTGAAAGAAAACTGTATATATTGAAATTGGTGAACAGTCATATAAAATTAATTTCTAACAATTTAATACTATAACTTTATTTCGTTTCTTTTTGGTATAATATACTTTATTTCATTGTCAGAATAAAGTGAGACATCGTATGTTTTTAATGAATCACTGGTATCTCCTTTTCTTTCTCAATGTAAAGCCACTTTTCACTATCTTTTTCTAAAATTCACATATTCATAATTAATCATTTCAGATAAATATTAAAATAAATAATTAGAAAAGAGAATTCATGATCAAAGTAGTGATGGTCTAGTAATAGTATAAAAAGGTTGATTCTTTATGCCCCAAATTTAAAGTCACTTTGGAAGGTAGATATATTTTTGAAATTGAAATATAGAAAATGATAAGTCCAAGTAGAAGCATAGAACTTCAACAATTTATTTTAAAAAATTCATGTATTTCTAATGAACTTGAAAATATATCAATATATTAATTAGTTTAAAATTTGTATATGCATGTATAATTTTCATTTTGCACATTGAGAAAATATATGTAATAAATATTATTCCCTCACATAACAAAAATGAATTCAGTGATAATATATTACTATTCTAGTAGACAGTAGTCAATGTCATGTTAACAAAACACTTTTAATGGATGCAGTGTCATATATTAAGAAAATCTGATTTATACTATAATTTATAGTTTTAGTTTTACAAGAAATTTACGATCGATCACCTCAAACCCAAGAAAAGAGTGGGCCAAAAGAAGCTGAATCTTTTTTCCTTTTGACATTTAGGGGTTTTCTCAATAGTTTCCACTGTATCCAGATGCCCCATAATTCTATACATATATACATATATGTTTGTATATATTAATCATTACTCGATTAGTGATAATTGTTATAATGAAAAAGACGTGCAACTTGGAATGCTTGTAGTTCCGACACCTGGTTAACGTGCGTCAATCTTATTCACAAAAATGTCTTTCTAATTAGTGAAAGTTTCATTTCATAGCCAATACATAGATAATAGAGGCATTTTAAAAAATAACATCTTTGTAGTTTCGTATTTTAAAACTATAACAATTACTGTTGAACGTTATAATTTTTTCTAGTGATTAATATTCTCAAGTATTTCTGTGTTTGTAATTTTTTGTAGAGATTTGTTTTATATCGGAAAACAATAGTTTCAAGATTTTTTTCTATGTCCGACCCAAAAGAAAAACTTATAATATATATATATATATAGCGAGAGCGAGAGAGAGAGAACAGTACTGTTGATAAAAGAGGGGCAGTTTGATTGAGGGAGGTTGAAGAAGCGTGTGACCGAGAACTTTGAGCTTATGATTAATTAATATTTTATTTTATTTTATTTTTGCCGCCGCAATGCGATTGGACTCATTCATAGTTCCCTTTACGATAACAATAAAAAAATGTTTTATTAAATTACAATAAATGTTGGTGGTCAGTTTTGATTTTCAGGTTTTTAATCATACATGAACTGATTTTGTTTGTTTGTTTGTTCCCGATCTTTTTTCAGAAGGGTTTTACTTTTATCATTTTAGCACCATGTATCCCTTAACATATATCCGCTATATCGGGACTCTAAAACAAATTATAAAGATAACAAAGTTGAATCGATTTTATAACCTGTTAATTCGATGTATGGTCGTCATATGCGACTAATAATATAAGGAACTTTTTTGTTTTGTTAAAGAACAAAAAAAGTTAGAGATCGGAAATTGGGAGACAGTGTATAGAGAAGCTTGTTGGTGTATATATTTTGCAATTAGCATACGTACCAACGAACTTAAATAGATACATGCCTCATATAGTCATATACGAAACATTGCATGAGTGTAGTATCCTCAATTATTGTCAATATAGCTGTGTGTTAAGCTAGATATGTTAAAAAAATACATCAAAAATAGATGGAACATGAAGTAATTAACATTTAAATAATATGAGTTCACTTATTCATTACCAATTTGTTTTTTATGTGTAAAATTCACGTACACAGAAAAGAAGAATAGAATATTTATATATATATATATATATATTTATAACCTTAAACCAAAAAAGAATAGAATATTTATGAACTACTTGAAAAATTTTTAACCATTTTTCGCTGAGGATTGGAATCTTCTGCCTTGCAAAACTCATATTTTGTTTTTATACGACATTTTAATTAGATGTGTATCCATATAGCATCGCTCAGTTGTCTACTTAAAATTAAACATACAAAAAAAAATCGAAGTCGATTATTTGATGTGACATAGTTAATTGCGAAATCGATCAGTTTCCGAGGTATCTAAATATATGGATCAATTAGTTGATATCTTACTTTTCGAATGAAAATTAAAATATTAATTATTTTGTAAGTTAGACAAGTTTTCAAGTACCAAACTTAAAAGATAATAATAGTACGACCTATATACTACAATCGTGTGTGTCCTTGTAAAACTTTCAGGTCAAGCCAAACTTAGATAAATAATTTCTATTATTTTAATTTTATTTTATCATATTGATTAATTCCACGAAATGAACTCTGATTACAATTATATTTGCATGACAGATTCATATCAATAATCAGCTTATGTTTTTGTCTAGTGTTACAAGTATAAGAAGATAATTATTTATTTGTATATCAATCTGAAGAGAGAAATGAGACCACGTAGATGGCCAACGGTCCATGCATCGATATATAGCATCTAAAAACACTAGAGCTAGCCCTAGCTACAAGATTAGACACAACCACTATTTATATTATAAATATGATGTGTATTATTTAATTATGTATGTTTTATATTTGTGTGTGTCCTTCGCCTAAGCCGCATTTGAAAGCTATAGACCAACCGAAAAGAGTTAAAGGAGAAGAAGAAAACTATTAAAGTTATAAAAAAGAAGAAGAAAAAAAGAGATATCACTTCTTAGATCTTATTTTCACTTTTCGAACTTCAACCTCATGGGACCACCGAAGAATCTTTTGTTTGTTTTTTCATTTATTTTTGTTTTAATTTTTCTTGATTTAGAACAAACTCTCGGGGTCGATGTTACTTAAATTGTGTCGAAGGCTTTACAAATAATGGAACCAATACCGACACCATTTCAATTTACGTTCTACCGATCTTAACTTTATTTCGAGTAGTATCATCCTCAAAATTTACAAAGATAGAAAATACTTATCGTACCAAAAAATTAATACAAAAAGCATATAATATATATATATATATATATATTAATCCAAGTCTCTAAACTCTTGTTAGAGAAATAAAAGAACAGTAAGAAATAAGTCTTATATATCTTAACTACAAATATAACATAATTAATTTGGTTAACTACCAACCAACAGAATGACACACGAATCTTCAGCACACAAGGAAACACAATAAACTAAACACGATAACAACTTTATTACATGATTATGACACCGTGTCCGGATCCATCTGAAATACCCCCCAAAAAATTAATAAATTGGCGACTGAGTGTTACTAAACTAAGTTATCTTATACGTCGATCAAGGAGGAAAAATACGTCAAAGATCTTGAATATTAAGCATATTCTTTAGCTGTAACTAATAAAGATACCATTACGAAAAGTTTTGTCCACAGAAAACCAAATAATAATGATGAGTACAAAAGGTTTATTCACAGAAAATCTTAAACTAGACGCTTCGGATTATTGACTACGTGGACTCACTGGACCTTCCATTGACGCTTCATCATGACTTCATCACCCACCAATAATAGCCTTCTCGAGACACATTGATGTGTGCTGCTGCACTAAAGATATCCTCTACACTTTGAAAATATGCCACGTTGCGAAGTGGGCCTGAGACAAGTGGATGAAGCCCAATGATTTCAAATGTCGTTTCTCTGATAAGGACAAGACAACATAAGATGAGGGACCGAAACATGAATTATAAATCCAAAGATTAGTATTTATGATTGGTATAAATGTCAAAAATGTTGATTCTCCAAAAATCTACTCTCCAGTATAAAGTTCTCGGCTGGAAATAATTGGGCTTATTAACTTTCTGTAAAGTTAAAACAAGGCCTAAACAAAAAGGGCCCAATTTGGTGAATTGTATTCAATTTTTTTCGATTAAAAACAAAAACAAAAAAATGCCTACTTCTTCTTACTCTCTGTATGTGCATCTATCTATACAGCAAGATCACTTTGCATGGTGCCATTAATTTGACAAAAAATTACGAGACATCTCTTCTCTGCGACAAAGCTCTTTTTTAGTCTTTGTACTCTGATTTGAGGACCCAAAGCGAACCGTTTTGATCCTTTCGAAGCGTGGCAATCTCCTTCAAGAGATTCCTAAACAATGGTAGGTCCTTTTCAGGAACCTTGTCCGTGAAATGGTTGACAATGCTGCTCGTGTCCGTGCTTCCTCCTCTTTTCTGTACAAAGCTGCATATCTGTCGGATCAGTACCTCGGGCTGCAACGAACCTACTCTGCTGCTTGAACCTGATGAAGATGGAAACGGAGTCTGTGGCTGCTCAAGGCCAACGCCAATGGCCTGTTCTCTGCTTCCGCGGATTCTGTTGAGAAGCTCTGCGGAAGACGGTGCTTTGCCAGAAGATAGACCCGCGCTGATACCGTTCTTGACCGCTGATGATTTGTCTGCTGTGGTCTGGGTTAACCGGGAATTCACAGTTGATCCGAATCTCATCCGTACAGATGAAGGTGCACCTGCACAACCAGATCTTCCCGTCCATGTGGGCACTGAGATGCTTTCACGGCTGCGCAGCATCCGTGATTGCCGCAACGCTTCCGCGGCTCTCTGTGCAACTTGAGATGCCTGGTGTTCAAGTCTAATCTTCTCTTCCTCGTCGTTTGCGTTCATGATGGCGTCGTGATTCACAGCACTCTGCGCAAATGATGGAAGTAGTCAAGTAGAGTAAAGCCACATGGATATTAGGGGAAAGAAACTCGGAGAATTAAGCTTTAATGAGCAACAATCAACAAATTTACATGTATTCCATGTGCGTCGAAGAGACTCTTTAAGATATTTGTCTCTTCATCCATGGGTTCGCCACTTTTATCATATTTTTGCCCTGAGGATTCTTCTGCTGCATCGTGAATATCAAGCTGTGTAGTGGATTCGGTTGTATTCTCTGTTTGAGCTCCTATGATGTTTATATCTTCAGCCAGCTGACTGAAGATGTTGGAGGTTTCGGTGGATGCGTTGCTATCGCCATCATCACTCAGTATGAAAAGATCTTTCATATCCCGAGCTTTGAAGAATCTTCTCTGTTGTGGATTCTTCAGGATCCTATTGGTGAGAAAATGTTTGTATATCTGTCTATGATATACCTTCTCCTCAATTGTGCCCCGTGTGATCAATCTGTAAACTGTAACATCTTTCTTCTGCCCTATACGCCAAGCACGTTCCCTTGCCTGTCAAAAAAATTCAGAAATATGATTGTTATTGAAGGCCATGACGTGTTTTCGAACACTGAGTCTGTGACAATCAAAGCAAAGTTTACCTGCATATCATTCGAGGGGTTCCAGTCCGGGTCAAAGATAATGACCCTATTCGCGCCGGTCAAGTTTGTTCCCAAGCCACCCACCTTCGTCGTCAGAATGAAAACAAACACATCATCTGAGTTATTGAACTCATCAATCAAAGCCATCCTCTGTTTCACTGCCGTAAGACCATCCATCCTCCGGTAACTATACTCATTTGCAACCAAGAAGCTCTCGAGGATGTCAAGCATTTGCTGAGTCTGTGAAAACAGAAGTACACGGTGTCCTTGCTGTCTCCAGACCTTGAGAACTTCTGCAACAACCTTCATCTTCCCACTGCGTTCTGGATTCCCATAATCGGGGTTCTGGTGAGAATGTTCTCTCTCAAGTAGATCAGGGTGGTTGCATATCTTACGCATCACATCAATCCCATACAGCGAATTCTTGTTTCCATCAAAAATATCTTCTACCTCGGAGCTCGCGAGGAACGCCCTGTAGGTAGATCGCTGCTCCACAGTGAGGCTGCAGAAGAGAACATGCTCAGTCTTTTTTGTGAGATTTGCGTTCACATCAGCCTTCATACGGCGGAGGAGGTACGGCATGATCAAATCACGAAGAACAACAGCACACCTGCACATTGTCGAGGAATGTTAGAACACAAACTGCGATGAAATACCTAAGTAATTCAAAGAAAGACGAGATAATCACCTGTAGGCAGTGGACACTTGCAAGGGAGAAGCATTGGCGTAGCCACCCACAGTTATGGGAACAGAGAACTCTGCCTCAAACACGGGCAGGACACCCAGTTTTCCAGGGAAAACAAAATCAAACAAGGACCAGAGTTCTGTCAGTTTATTCTGGATTGGTGCCCCAGTCATAATAATCCGGTGGACGGTCTGTAACTGTTTGCACACCAAAGTAACTTCAGCATTCGGGTTCCGAATCCGATGGCCTTCGTCCAGTACTGCATAGCCCCACTCAATATTGAGCAGCTTCTCACCCTGCAGCCTCAATTGCTCATATGTGGTGATGAGGAGCCCCGATTCAGAGTTTAGAACCCGGTTTATCAAAGAATACCATTTCTTGGTGTTCTTGGACTTTTGCTCCTTATCACTGTCGACTGAACCTTCACTGTCATTATCGCTTTCAGAGGCCTTGACTCCTCTGCCATTTGAATCTTGTGCCGAGTCATGGAGTATTTCCACGTGAAAATCAGGGTACCATTTCTGCGCTTCTCTTCTCCACTGACGCAAGAGTGTGACAGGACATATAACTATACTCGGTTTGTACATCTTGCTGAAATGCAGGGATCCGAGAAAAGATAAGACCTGCACAGTCTTACCAAGACCCATCTCGTCCCCGATAATGCCACCAGCTTTTTGGCAATGAAGTTCCCAGAGCCACTGCACTCCAACTCTTTGGTAATCAAAAAGTTTGTTAAATATGCCTTCGGGAATGTTTAATCCACCTTCAAGCTGTACAGAAGATCTTTCGTTTTCGTCTGCGTCGTCAAAATCATCTAGTTCTTCCTCACAACTGGAAGTGGTCAAGATTCTCCCACAACCTTCTGAAACATTGTAAAGAAAATCAACATCATAACTTTTTTTCTGTACATAAACTCAAGTAGGAATAAGAAGCATATGCTTAATAACGGTATACACTATTGAGACTTATCAATTCAAAGCATTGCATTGGTAACATGTAATATCTAATAGTCAGAAGGTCCAATATCACGACATATCTTTTCCAAAAGCAATCACTTAAATTACTAGCCATTAATCTGCCCGGTTCCAGCAGCAATCTGTAAAATATGTACATTTAGTTGCAATAGGATCCACCATACCACTTTCTTGTAGACTAGAGTCTTCGTTAGAAATACGCTTTGTCCATTTCCTTTCAGGCAAAGGCCGCTTCTTTTTTTTCTTCCCAGCTTTAGTTTTCTTTGCTTCATTATCCGAAGAATCATGAGTCTTGTAAAGCTTTCTTAACCTTCTAAAAGGAACAGGGGTCGCTTCAAGCTTTGGCAAGTCCTCTGCATCAAGTAGCTTGGTTGTTGGGCGAGCTTTAGCAGCCAGAGACATTGATTTGACAGCTCTATCAATACTGCCGGAGTCCTCATTTTCGTCTTCTCCGTCAGGTAGGTTGCGGGAGTTTGACGATCCAGGTTGCTGAAGTCGGCGTTCGAAACCCTCGAGCTTGTGAAAAGGAGTTAAAATTCCTTTTCTCACCAATTCATCTCTTTCCTAGACACGAATAGCTTGAATTAGTCATTGTCATTCATAAACAGGTTTGTACATTCGCATACACATTTTTTGTTTTCCAATGTTTAGAAGATAGCTGGGCGTACCGTTTCAACAAAGCCTGCGGAAGCTGCATCGAAAACGGCATCAAAATCCGTGTCCTCATGAAATGAGACTACTTTCACCTTCTTCCCTTCTCTCTTGCTTGGTTTCTGAATCTCTTTCAGTTTTCTCTTGAGACTAGGCTCTCCCTTCACCACATCCCGCAGTAGAATATTGCTATCAGCACTACCAGAAGCGCTCTGGCCTTGTAAAACATTGATTTCTTTTTCAAGTTGAAGTTTCCTCTTCCTAAGGCTTCTTAGACGGTCTGTGGCAAGGGCGTGCTGAAGCACAGAACCACTATGAAGCCCATGAGCCTCTGATTCATCATCTTTCTGTACACCATCTTCTTCTCCAACCTCCTCCACTTGCTCAACAGTTGATGCAACAGCATCTATTTCAAACTTTACAGCCCTCAATCTATTCAAAAGCTCGCTCTGGCTAGATGGAAGGAGATGGCTTCCTTGCACCTGCTCCACACTCCCTTTCTCATCGTTATCTAGTTTCTTCGTCGCCTGATTAATGATCATCAAAGAAGCATTCAGGGATAAACCTAATCCCTTCCATAGAATCAACAACTCAAGCACAGATAAACGACGGAGCAAAAAATACCTCATCGAGTATCGTCTGCTCGATATCAGCAGGATTCGCCGATGTCACTCCTAAGCTACTCAACAAAAACCGATCCTCGTCTTCCTCCATTGGATCAATTCTCAACTACAAACCTCTATCACCACGAAAACCTGAGCATCTCCGTCGCATTGCATTCTCCGGAGCTTCCTCCTTGTGACAGCACCAGCTGAAACAAACTAGAATACATATAACCTCTAAATTCTGCTTTCGTCGCTCCCACAAATCCATGAAAACTCAATTATACAAACTTGTTAGAAATTCAGAGCACGAACCTTGGAGGCCGTGAAATTCGACAAAGTTAGAAACACGCAAATCCCAAATTCCACAGAAGTCTCTCTTGAATCGTAAGAATGATTAAGGTTGGATCGAATTTTGTTATTCGCTTAGAATAATTTGAATTCCAGATTCCTCGTCGTCGTCGGTCAGAGATTGTGGCTGCTCGATCGTCCTCACGCAACCGTTTCGCCTCTTCCGGTTTCGCTCGGCCCCGTGTGATAAGTAATCTCGCTTCCTCACCAAGGAAAAACCCATATAAGCCCATAAAGGCAGAGTTGTTATTGGGCTTAATGATCTCCGTTTATGGAAGCCCATAGCTGAATTTTTAAAAGATGTTAAGGCCCATTTCTCTTTCTCTCTCTCTCTAAAAAATCTACACATGTTTACTGGGTCAATTTTCGTTCCAGAAATCGATTCGTCACCTTTGATTTGGGAATGTGACAAAATCAATCTGGGGATGTAGTTTTGTCGATTCTCTATGACTTTTTGTCTGATTTATTTCTTCCGGGGATTCAACTCTTGTTCCACGTTCTAAGTCACGGCATTGGATGGTTTCATTTTCCCACGCAGGCGAGAGAGAAAGAGAGAGGCGATTATTTGGTTGACTTGTTTTCGATCTCAGATGGGGATTTTATGCAGCACTTGGTGTCTCAATTAGGGTCAAAAACAGAGACCTCTCGGGTGGTTATCAGATTATATAAAAAAAAAGGGTTCTTGAATGAACTTGAAAATGGATAATGTAATTGGTGGCAAGTTTAAGCTTGGTCGCAAGATCGGTGGTGGCTCTTTCGGAGAGCTTTTTCTAGGTATGTATATATATTTACTTTCTTATTCTTTGTGATCCGTTCTAATATGTTTGTCCTCAGTACGTATTCAATTTCTGGATTACCTTATTTTCTGTCGGAATTAAATCTGGTTTTTTCTGTGAAAATGTTTTTCAGGCGTAAGTGTGCAAACGGGAGAGGAAGTCGCTGTTAAGCTGGTAATTATTTAAATCTGCCTTCTTTTATTTTTTTCATCAGTCTTAAGATCTCGTTCATACTTTGGCAAATCTCTCTGTTTTTCATCTTCATGATGTTTTTTTTTTTCTGTGTTCAAATTCATTTTTTACATTTTGTTTTCTTCTTGGAATTCAATTGTATTTGTGACTTGAAATAGCCGTAGTGGAAATTGTTGTTATTTAATCTTTTGGCTTCATTCTTCTTTGAGTTTCATTTTGCTAATCAACTTATGTTTTGGTATTCAAGTGCGAGTTAAAAAAAAGCTTGAGGGAGTCACTGCTGTTTATCTGCTTTCATCTAACCATCACTTCTTAATCACTGAAAAAAGTTCATATTTTTATTGAGAATTCTGATAAATGGAGGATACACAGCAACAGACTATATCTAACGTTCTGTAAAACTCTGTAGGAGCCTGCGAAAACAAAGCATCCCCAGCTTCATTATGAGTCGAAGATATACATGCTTCTACAAGGAGGAAGTAAGTATACACAACTGTGGCTAAGTCAAAAGCTGTAGCCGCTTTCATTTCGCGTTTCTACTTATTGAATGTGTTGTCTGTGGTGAAGCTGGCATTCCCAGCCTAAAGTGGTTCGGGGTTCAGGGAGACTACAATGCGATGGTCATTGATCTGCTTGGCCCGAGTCTTGAAGACTTGTTCAACTATTGTAATAGGAAACTCACTTTGAAGGCAGTCTTGATGCTTGCAGATCAACTGGTGAGTGATCTCTGCTTTCACTTAGTTGAGGCAGAAGAAAATATGTTAAAATGTTCTGATGGTGCACTTAATAATATATATTTATTGTTCATTGTAGATTAGCCGAGTGGAATACATGCATTCGAGGGGGTTTCTTCACCGCGACATAAAGCCAGACAATTTCTTGATGGGACTTGGTCGCAAAGCAAACCAGGTGCTTTTTTCCTCTACAGTTTCTGTTTGCTGGATTGAATAATTTTATGAATGGATGTTGATATCATGACCTGAATATGATGTATCTAGGTGTATGTCATTGATTTTGGCCTTGCAAAGAAGTATAGGGATCTCCAAACACATAGGCACATCCCCTACAGGTGATTTATGAAGCTTTTTCATGTGCATGTCTGTATGCTTCTTTCGTATTTTTTTTCATTTACAGAAAATTCTTACAGATACTCGTGTTGTTTTCATTACAGAGAAAACAAGAACCTTACGGGCACAGCTCGGTATGCTAGCGTCAACACTCACCTTGGAGTTGGTAAGCAACTCATAGAACCATTTGAGATCTGCCTTAAAGTTTATGTATAATTTTCCTAAAGTCATGTGCCTGTGAGCGTATCTGTTGGCAGAGCAAAGTCGGAGGGATGATCTGGAGTCTCTTGGTTATGTGCTCATGTATTTCCTGAGAGGAAGGTTGTGCATGCAGATCCCTCTTTGTCTGATTTAGTATTTGTACATGCTTGTTCTAGTCTGACTTTTTCTGGGATCAGCCTTCCGTGGCAGGGACTAAAAGCCGGCACAAAGAAGCAGAAGTATGACAGAATTAGCGAGAAGAAAGTTTCAACTCCTATAGAGGTATGGTTTAGACATAATATGGCTTTACTTAGATACCTTGATATGAGTTAGATCAGCTATCTCATTATCACACAAGTCACAGCTTAACTGTCTTACTATACTCGTTAACAGGTCTTGTGCAAGTCAAGTCCACCCGAGTTCGTATCATACTTTCAATACTGCAGATCTTTGCGATTCGAAGACAAACCCGACTACTCATATCTAAAGAGGCTGTTCCGAGATTTGTTTATTCGTGAAGGTTTGCGTTTTCCAGAGGCTAAACTCTTGCTTCTTTGGATATAAAGTAACGTAGCACTCTTCGTGATAACAAAATCACGGTCATGGTATCAGGTTATCAGTTTGACTATGTATTCGACTGGACTGCATTGAAACACCCTCAGAGTAGCTCCACTTCTCGTTCCAGCTCCCACGGAAGGGTGAGTTCACTTTTCCTTAACATCTCTCTCTCTCTCCCTCTCGAGGTTCCTTGCTCATTCTGATTCCCGTTATCTGATCACTGCTTCAGCATCGTACCGGTAAACCGGTGATAGCCGCTGCTGGACCGTCTGCTGAAAAACCTGAAAGGATTTCAGGTAATGCTATACTTCTTTCCAGAGTTGGGAAAAAACATATGTAACTGTTAAGCTATGTACACTCATCTATCTTATTACCTTACAGTTGGGAGGGAGATCCGCGACAGATTCTCAGGTGCGGTCGAAGCATTCGCGAGAAGGAACGTTACAGGAACCAGCCCCCAACAAAACCATACCAGAAATCGAACTCTTGACGATGTTCCTTCACCTATGAAACCTGTTGTGGTAAAACACATATCATCTTCCTTGTCTACAAATATATCACATTGTTGTTACATTAACACTTTTCAAGTAGATTAATCACATCCTCGTTGTTGATATGCCTCAGAATATGGTATCTGAGAAAGGAAGAAACACTTCCAGATACGGCAGTGCTTCGAGGAGAGCGGTGGCCTCGGGAAGCAGACCGAGCTCATCAGGTGACCAAGGTGAGAGCCGCGGCTCGAGCCGTGTGGCCTCAAGCGGTAATGGTGGTGGCGGTGGCCGAACATCTGTCTTCCAGAGAACACAAGCGGCAGCTCCTGTGAGTGGATACGACTCGAAGACGGCCTCTGCCTTTAACCGTAACCGAGTCACTGCTTCTAGGACCGCACGTGACGATGCTCTCAGAAGCTTCGAGCTTCTTTCGATCCGCAAATGAAGCCCTTCAATGGGCTCTTTGATGTAAATTGGATTCTTCTCTCTACACATGTTGTTTGGTCTCCCTACGTTTCCACGAAACTCCCCATTTTTCATGTATTATGATGTGATGCTCTCTGGATTTTTGTATTAATTTCAACGCTCTTCTGTTATTGTAATCACGACCAGTTCTGAGCTTGATTCTGCATACTCCGTCTTCTTGTGTGTTTTGACTTTTATTTCTATATATAGAACCCAATTGATCAGTAATTATTACCAGTTCACTTCTTACTGTTTCAGTCTTTAATTTAGTGACCACTTGGACAAAAATCTATTATTAATCTTAACTTTACGACATGATTTGCGCAGTTATTATTATATTAGACCGGCGTCGTTTAAGTCGACTAACGTGTGTTCCAATAATCGTCGTTGCAAGCGTCAAGTTTAACGGCAGCTCACGACGGTGATCGTGTCGTCGTGACTCAGGGCGTCTTCCTCGCTCCAACTTGTTTGATTTTTAAATTCTCTCTGTCCCTGAAATACCAAATTGACCAATACAGAAAACAAAGCACGAAGATCGATTAAGCATCTACTTCATCATTCTGAATCCTATTAAAGGTACGGAAAATCCGTGTTTTACAACTGGTTGCTTTAAAAGTTATGTTCTTGCCGGAAATTTGGGAAGATGTTTAGATTGTCATATAATATCTCGAGTTTGGTGCGTTCCTTTAATCAAAGTTTTTAACTTTTTCTGATTATTTGTTTGTTTGTTGGCTGAAACTTTCGACTTTTAGCTACAGATTTTGTAGGGTCAATTTTTTGATCGTTGTTAGTTGTTTGATGAATAATTATATACAGGAATGATAGTCTATTATAGGGTTGCATTGAATCTGGATTGACCCAAAAAGAGAAAGAAGCGTGGATGATTTGTTGTGGATTTATGTGGAAATCCGGAGGAGAAGACTTGCAAGGTTTCTATCCGGTTAGATCAGAATGTCAAGCAGATGTTCCAAGAACACGATTTAAATCAAGGGTTTGTCTTTTTTTTTCTTCTCTTTTTAAACATTCATGTTCTTGATTCAATAAAATTTTTCATATGGATGATTGAAAATTCTGTGATTTTTATAAGGCTGGCAAAACTCTAAGTGCTAGGAGATGGCACGCTGCGTTTACAGAAGATGGACATTTGGATATGGAAAGAGTTCTTCGTCGTATACAGCGAGGGGTGAGCCTGTTTTTGATATCTTATCTCATTTTTGATCTATGGCCTTGTTGCTCACTTGGATAACTTCTTTTCAGGGAATCCATCCCTCAATCAAAGGAGAGGTTTGGGAGTTTTTGTTAGGAGGTTATGATCCGGACAGCACCTTTGAAGAAAGAAACAAGCTGAGGAATCACAGAAGGTACTAATGTTTCTTCTCTGCTGTGATTATCTTAGGACTGAGAATGCTAAGTAGTTTGGTAGATTCTGTTGAGGTACGTGTTCTCTGCTCCAGGCATTGTACTTTGTTGCTGACCTCAATGAGTTTATGTAACTAAGGGAGCAGTACTATGCTTGGAAAGAAGAATGTCGGAAAATGGTTCCTCTCGTTGGTAGCGGAAAGTTTGTCACAATGGCAGTTGTTGCGGAAGATGGGCAGCCATTAGATGAATCCTCAGTAGAAAACCAAGGATGGATCGTGAAAACCGCTGTTACAGATAAGCGTGTGCTCCAGTGGCTGCTCGTGTTGAGTCAAATCGGTATTTTTATTTACTCATACATAAGTTTATGCTCTCTAGCATAATGCAAGTGCTCTTCAAGAACTGCTTATATGATGGATTTTTGTTGTTGCAGGACTTGATGTTGTTAGAACGGATCGGTATCTCTGCTTTTATGAGAGTGAGAGTAATCAAGCAAGACTATGGGATATCCTTGCCATATACACATGGCTAAATCCTGATATTGGTTATGTTCAAGGTAAGTCCATTTGGTGTTAATGATGTATCTACGATACAGGAGAACATTGAAATGAGAAGGCAATTGATGATCTACTTTGTGTAGGAATGAACGATATATGTTCCCCGATGATAATCCTACTCGAAGATGAAGCAGACGCTTTCTGGTGCTTTGAGCGTGCTATGAAAAGACTAGTAAGAATTCTAAAGCTTTTCCGTCTTTGTGTTTTGTGTCATCCGTGGGTTTTGTTGTTTTCATGGCTTTATAGTTTTCTTGAATTTCAGAGAGAAAATTTCAGGACAACGGCGACATCAATGGGTGTGCAGACTCAGCTTGGTATGCTCTCACAGGTCATTAAAACCGTTGATCCTCGGCTCCACCAACATCTAGGTACTCATTCCTTTTGTTTGCCTTCCTCTGAGCTTTGTTTTCTCTGCACTTCTCATTGTAAGTTAAGGCGCTTATACTCTATTTTTTCCACTACAGAGGATCTCGACGGTGGAGAGTATCTGTTTGCTATACGGATGTTGATGGTTTTGTTCAGGAGAGAGTTCTCCTTCCTTGATGCCTTGTATCTTTGGGAGGTAACAAGACTTTGTTCTGTTTCCCTTTTGAGTTACATTAAGCTTATTTGGGAGGTAATAAGACTGTGAGATAGAATTTGATTTCAGCTGATGTGGGCTATGGAGTACAATCCAAACAAGTTTGCATCGTATGAGAAACCAGAGAACAGACACAACTTGTCGGAACAGGATCCGAGGTTATTGAAGCAGTATGGGAAGTTTGAGAGAAAATACATAAAGAGTGGTCAGAACGAGCAACACAACACGCTTGCTGTTTTCGTTGTGGCAAGTGTTCTTGAAACAAAGAACAAACGTCTCTTGAAGGAAGCTAAAGGCCTAGACGACGTTGTTCAGGTCTCTTTCTCTCTCTCTCTATGCAAAGAAAAAAACTCCTGAGAAATTCAACTCTTTTCTCTGGTTTTATGGCAATTTAGTTTTAAAAAATCTTCGGTTGGTTGCAGATATTGGGTGATATCGCGGGTAATTTGGACGCGAGAAAAGCGTGTAAAGAAGCGTTGAAGATTCATGAAAAGTTCCTGAGAAAGGTGACTGCTTTTCTGATCTTCTTCTTCTTCTACTACTTCTCGTTACTAATGATGGATATGTGAAATGTTCTTGCAGGCTAATAGGCAGTAGACATTGCTTAACCTTTTAACCATCCATTTTCCGGTTTTGTTAGACCGATTTCGACATCGATCTTGGCTGCTAAATCTAGTAAAGATCGTGGGAGGGATCCATGAGAATTCTCTGATTCTTTTGTTCTTTCGTTGCTGTAATCTTTTTGTTCTTATGCATTTGAGTTTCCCCCCGTTTGTAGTGTGCTAAAGAAATTAAACTTGCGTGTGCCGTTTCTTGTATACAATAAGGAACTTCGTGATGTTATCTTTTATCATATTTGTTTCGTTTCTTGGTACATAAACGCTCAAAACAACATTTTACAATCATACAAAATTCGGATATACATACGGAATCAAGTCAGACAATTCAAATCAACTCAAGCAGGAATGGTATATAATCGAGACTTGAGTTTCGAATACAAAATGATGCGAAATCAGATTTTCGAACAAACCAAAAAACTACATTCTTTGGAACACGAATTGTTTCCAACAATCATATTCTTTTCCTTCCTGCATTAAAATTTAAATTACAAATACAAACCATATTAATAAACGGCTCAACAACATATATACACTAAAAATAGGCATGTAGAACAAAAACAAGTAGAGCAAATATTTCAACTAAACCAGTTTCCTCCCCTATTTTCCTCTAGTTCTTAATTTGTTTTGTTTGTTGTTATTCATTTGATGGCATTTTTTTCGTCTACTTTCCCTTTTTATTTTCAATATTGAGAAAAACCTAAACCATTGAGTTAACGAAAATCTTGGGAAGAAAAAAACAATCTTTGTTTTTCCCCCTCATTTCTCCATCGTCATTTTGCTCTCTTCACACGTTTTCAAAAATGTCTCCCTTAATTTTTTCATCTATTAAACATTGTTTTTTTGTCATCAGAAAATTTGTAGATCTTCTTAGATGAAGTTGCATTAATAAGTTTCTTCTCGTTTAGATTCCTTACATCATGAATCAAATTTGGTTTGGATGCAAGAACCTTCAAAAACATGCAAGATCATAGAAACCTCAAAATGATTATTTGTTGTTTTCTCAGAAAACCTATCGTTTTTTTTTGAGCTAAGTAACTGATTATCTTTTCCATTTTTCATCGTCCCTTTAATGTTTTGGAGTCACAATTCTTTGTAAAACATATATTGTCATTTTCGAAGTGAATGTTTTCTAGTTTTTTACGGGATTATTAAACTGTAAGAGTTAGGTTTTGTTTTGATATATGCACGTTGCTCTTTTCATCTTTCATTCCTTCAACAAAGAAAAAGTTAAAAATAACGAAGGATAAATATTTATCCCCAAGAAAAAGAGATCTATGCAACTCGCAGTGTCAAGTACCAAGATGAAAAGCCTCTTTAAAGGGCTCCGATATATATCTCAAGTATTTGGTGAGTTTTTACTATTCTCTCTTTGTTTTCATTTCAATACTTCAATGATGATGATTGATGACTATTGCACATTGAAAAGAATAACAGAAACCGTAAAAAAAAAAGAGATTGGTCATATTTTTACTGGAATAGTTCAAAGGCATCTCGCATCTCCTTCTTTTTGTTAATCTTTGATTATCCATTAATTATATGAATTGTCCAGTGTTTTGGGTGTTGTGAGTCCTGGTGCGTATTTGAAAAGACAGTGGTGAAATGACATAATGACCTGACATGAATCATAACTCTGTGATAACTGAAAAGTAAAAAAAAAAAACTACGATTAAAAGAAAAGGATGATGCATTTGGTATTCACATTACAAACTATGATTGAGACTAGAGATTTCACTTATGTTTTGAAGCGATTGCAATAAATTCATGGAAACAATCTCCACATGATCTCGTTTGAAAATTTAGAAATCCGACAAATTAGTTACTAAAATATTAATGGGATCTACGTACTTAATTACAAAGTGGAACTATTTGTTTTTTTTTTCAATACAAGTCCTCCATCTAACTTTTTGTTGTGTACCATTTTTGCGGATACTAGACAGAACCATTTAGATTTGTATTCCTTGTATGAAAGATGAATCAGTGAACATTAAAATAAGGTTTTTGATATGATAATAAAAGCAATAGAAGGTGAAAAGGAACCAGAGATGCAAATCGGAAATCCAACGGACGTAAAGCATGTTGCCCACATTGGTTGGGATGGACCGTCTGAAAATGCCACTGCACCTAGCTGGGTACTACTACTCTATACTCTATACTCTATTCCTATTTTCCTTTACAAATAAAAATTAAATTTCAGCATTTCAAATTCGATGTTGTAATATATAAACAAATCTTTGGAAGATGAACGACTTCAAGTGTCAATCGGAATATAGTGGTCGGTCCAGAGATTTACCTAAACTACCAAAATCCAGTAGAAAATCAGCGTTTGAGAAAGGTTCTCCGACGAAACAGAAAACCGACAAGACCAATCGTCCTACTTCGCACAAAGGCACATCGTCGTCTCAACACAGTGTTGGATTATCACCTGAGATTCCAAAGAAATCAAAAAGGAAGAAAGCTAAGGAAGGTAATGCCAATGGAGGGTCTCCGAGATCGTCTAGTAGATCGGAAGTTGAGAAAATGTCGGATTTCACGTCCGATACTGGTTCCGTTAGATCTATGTCTCAGTTCGACGATGACAGAAATGGGTTTTGATTTGTGACAAAACGATACACTTTCATTTTGCAATAGTAAAGAAATGTTATAGGAACTGTTGAAAGTGATTTCATTACGCAGAAAGTAATAATTACAACAAAAATTTAAAAACTTAACCTCTAATCAAAAAGGTCTACGCTTCATAAATCTATCCTCCTACGAAATTCAATCTTTTGATATTAATGCATGCTTCACATTGGAGTTTGCATACATGAATCACTGAGGAGGTGTTAGTAGGAGTATGATTTTTTTTTTGGCTAAGAGTAAGAGTATGATTTATATAGAGTTGTAATGATTTTAAAAGTTGGAAAGAGTTTGTTAGATTTAAATAAAGTTATGAATATTTAGAAAATCTATCAAAATCTTTTATTATAATGATTTTAAAAATTTAAGATATATAGATAGTATTTTGAAAATTTTATTTAATGAATTAAATCGCTAATAATTTTTGTCCCAATAACAAAGATTTTAATAAATTGATAGACTCATTAAAAATTAAACTTTTTGAATAATTATAGATTTTGTATAGAATTTGAAAATCTTTATAACAATAACAACGAATTTTAGTAAAAATATTAAAATCTATCTACCAATAACAATGAAATATTAAATTTTTAATAATTATTACAAATTTCTTTACCAATAACTTTTTGTAAATCTCTAACGCTAATCCAGATTCCATTAATTATCAAATTCAAGTTAGAAAATTGCACAAGGATCGAACCACTTCCATTTTAGTTGGGTTTATTTTTGGTTTTTTGGTTTTATTAATCCTAACCTAGCCTACTCCTACTCCTAAACCTAAAAATCTAAAACTAAGCACGGGAAACCTCAAAGAGGCAACACCAGAGAATATGAGCCCTTGGTATGCTAATAAAAAGGAATTTAATAAAATAAAAGGATAAATTTAAATTTAGATTACTAATCCTAAAATAAAAAGGAAAATGTTTCAATTTTAGAAAATATAAGCTAAATATCTAATCATAAAAAAGAGAAATATTAATCATACCTATATAAACATCTAAGGTTTCTCATAATTTTCACCAAACCAAACAATATTTATATCCTTTGAAAAAATTTAAAATTTTGAGAATTTAGTAAGTTAAATATGACCAAAACATTATACGATATATTCAATATTTTATTTGTTTAATAAAATATAATAAGATGTATGTGTTTAACATTTATTTTTGAAATTCAGATGTAATCGGATATATCAAAAATATGAAAAAATAGATGTGTGTAGTGAGATTACACCTATCATAAAAGGTTACTTTGACTTTATTTTTTTAAGGGTTAGGGTGTTTCTATATAAATCTATTTTATATACATATTTTTAATTAATAAAGATTATTATATTGTCTATTTCTATTTTGTTTACTTTGGTTTAAAGCTAAATTATTTTTTTTGGAATTAAAATACCAATGATAATATTGGCAGAACAAGTCAAGCAATTAGAAGATAAATATTATGGAGTTGAAAGTGATAACAATGTTATTATCATGACAAGTTTTTTGAACAAAAGTTATCAAGGTGTAATTTGTATATTGTCATATTCTAGAACTAACTTCTTTTTGAATTATGATTGTGATTTTGTTACTTTTTAAATATTATCTTATTTTTTAATTTATTAATATATTAATTGATGAATTTATTATTTTTTGTATTCTATTAGTTTTAGTTATGGTGGTCGCTACGTTTGCGACTTTAGTTAGTATTTTTCGGTTTGGTTTATTCGGTTATTTGGTTAGTTTGAATTTTAAATTGTTTATCAAATTAAACCGAACAAAATTATAAGTCGGTTTGATTTCAACTAATTCGGTTTTTGAAATTTATTGCCAAATTGATCTGAAGTTTTTGGTTTTTTGGTTCAAATTTAGGTAAGTTTAATTTTTAATTTAGCTCGGTTCAATTAAAAATTAAAATAAGATAATAATTAATTTTATCTTTAAAATTTAAATTTTGTAAAAAAAAATAATTAGAAACAAATAAAAAAATATTTTAATGATTAATTTGATTTTGATTATATTTTGAATTTATTTTGACAAATTTTGATTATATTTTAATGATTATATACTCTATTCATATTTTCCTTTACAAATAAAATCAAATTGCAGCATTTCAAATTTGACGTTGTAATATATTCAAATCTTTGGAAGATGAACGACTTCAAGTGTTTTCCGGGATTGGGGGAAGACGATTCCTCCGCGAAATGTCAATCGGAATATGGTGGTCGGTCCAGAGATTTACCTAAACTACCAAAATCCTCTAGAAAACCAGCGTCGGAGAAAGGTTCTCCAACTAAAGAGAAATCCGACAAGACCAATCATCCTACTTCACACAAAGGCACATCATCGTCTCAACACAGTATTGAATTATTACCTGAGATTCCAAAGAAATCAAAAAGGAAGAAAGCTAAGGAAGGTAATGCCAATGGAGGGTCATCGAGATCGTCTAGTCGATCGGGACTTGATAAAATATCGGATTTTATGTCTGATCTATGTCTCGATTCGACGATGACAGAAATGGGTTTTGATTTGTGACGAAGCGATTTTGTAGTAGTAAAGAAATGCTATTTTGAAGGTGATTTCATTACGCAGAAACTAATAATTACAACAAAAAATAAAAACTTTACCTCTAATCAAAAAGGTCTACGCATCATAAATGTTAAAACTTTTTCCACCTAATCTGTTCATTGTTCTTCCTCTCTATGTTATCACTGATTTATCAAAATGAAAAGAACCATAAAACCGCTGGGAGGCAAACTGACGCGAAAATTCTCGCCGCCGACGAAGAGAGAGCAGGTCCGGCAAGAGGAGGATCCGAAGTTTTGGCGAAAAGAAGATTTGGGTTCCCGCTCAATTTGAGCTTTTTCCCGATCCTATCCTTGAAACAGTCGGAGAAAGGAGTCTTTCCGGTGAGATTGTTGTTCTCGAGGTTGATTTCGCTAGCAAAGCCAAGAAGCTCGAACTCCTCGGGGATTTCACCGTCGAGATTGTTGTTGTCTAGCGCAAGATACCAGAGGTTTTTGGAACTCGACACCATTGAAGCCGGAATATTCCCTTGTAGACCCATTCTCGAGAACCCAATTCCGGAAATACCCTCGAGATTCTTCCAAATCTCCGGTATACGCCCTCCGAGCTGATTCCCGCTCAGATAAACCTCTCTCAATCTGGGCATCTCCGAAAGAAACAGAGGAACGCCGTAGTTCCCGAAACGGTTGTAACTCAAATCCAAAAACTCGAGCTTTTTCAGTTTCCCAACGCCGGAGGGGATCTCACCGGAGAACTCATTGTAGCTGAGATCGAGCTTGAGAAGCTCTGTCAAATCGCCGATGGAATCAGGGGCGTTTCCGTCAAGGAAATTATGGCTAAAGTCTAGAACTTTCAGATTCCTCAGTCGAGACGTCGCGGTCGTTGGAAAACCGCCGCTCAAGCTGTTTCTAGAGAGCGTAATCTCTTGTAGACTGACCAAATCGGAGATCCGACCCGGAATCGATCCGTGAAACCCGTTTCCGGTGAGAACCAATCTCCTCAGTTTGGTGAAATTACCGATCAAAACACTGACTTTGCCGACGAGAGAAGGGTTTTCGATGAAGACAAGCTCTTCGAGAACCGAGCCGAAATCCTCCGGGATGGTTTCCGGCAACGAGACACGACTTCCGGTGAAGCATTTGTAGAAGAAGAGCTTGCGAAGGTGTTTGAAAGAAGTGAAAAGGAGAGGATCGAGCGTAGAGTTTGAAGCGCAGGGAGGGTTTTGCGTGTAGTCGGAGAGGTATCCCAAGTGGAACTCGGTGACGTGGACAGACGTCGCGACGCCGTTGGGAGAAGCGTATGAGAAATCGCATACGACGCCGTCTGGTGGCGAGGCGCAGAGGTCGTCGGGGAAGATGGTTCGCCATGAGATCGCTGAGTTGACCGAGTTAAGAACTCGGTAAACCGCTTCCTGCTCCGAAGGGTCTAGAGCAAGTTGAGGCAGTGCGTCTTCGTCGTCGTTTTGCTGGGTGACGATGAATGTAGCAGTAAAGAGAAAGAAGACGAGAAAAAGCTTAAGATGAGAAGTCGCCATGAAAGCAGAGAGAAAGCTTTTTTTTTTGTTTTGCAGCTTTTCTTGTTTGGATTTGGGTATGTTGCTAACGAGCGATACGTACCTTTTTATGGGTTCATGCTTCGTAAAGTCTCTTTCGGTAAATGACATAAATATCCCTAGTTGAAACCGAGTGATAATAAATAAAGCTTTTTTACTCCTATACTTTACTCACTCCTATTATAAATTTCAAGAAAGTTTTTACACTGGACTTTATTTTACATTTTTTTACTTAGTTAAGAAAAATGAGCATTTACTTACTTTCATACATTTTCCAATGTTTTTTTTTCTAAAGAACATAAGAAAAAGAGATTTGTGGTAAAATAAAATGGGAAGGGTAGGATAGTAATAAAGAAGGAACGGTACAAGTTTCACGTTCCGCGGGTAAAAGCATGAGCGGAGGTTGTCGGGACCATACCAGACGAAAGTTGGAGAGAGAGAGAGAACGCGACACCGTTTCGTTTTTAGGCACAATCACCAAAACCACCCTTATTTATCTTCCAAATATGCTTTTTTTTAATGAAATCATATGGTTATCATTTGGATTTTTTGTTCATTCGATATAATCCAAATTTGAAACTTTTTTTTCTATACAGTATGAGTTTATGACCTTCAACTGTCGCTTCTAATTTTGCATTATTAAAAATACAAAAATTCAAAATGAAAATGAAGGAAGAAAATGTAACAAAATCTGCAAAAATATCATTTAGATCTTTTTTTTACTTTACCCCCCGAGTCTCAGTAAAATAGTTATTTAAATCCAAATTCGAAATTTATCTGAAACATAAATACCGATATTTTAAAAGAAGATTAAAAGGAAGAAAAAAAGAAGACAAAAGCTGAATTTAAGTGACAGAGACAAAGGAGGGGCAAACGGCGGAGGAGTCGACAAGGACGCACCATAGCCGCCGAATGGGAACAGTGTATGTGTCGTACGAAAGCGACGGGTAAAGAAGTCTTCCTGTATAGTAGCAACACGTGTCAGTCTCTAACCGGAAACGGCACGGTCTCACGCATGCCATTTCAGCAATTTCTATTTCCGGTTCCTGCCCTCCATTGTCCCCACTGGGCCAGAGTTTCAGACCGGTCCATTTAATTTTCATTTTGTTTTTTTTTTTTTTTTGTATTATTAGCTGTCGCTGTTTAAATTCTTTGTACGAAAACAATTGTACAATGCCTTTTGCAGTTGTGCTTGCTCCTCATTGTTTTCCTATAACCAAGAAACCAAATAAATAACTTTATTTATTTCGGAACTTGAAATCGTTTTTTTTCTCTTTGGAATAAGAAACATGGGATAATGCGTCGTCTATAACTTTTATCAGTCTATGCACATATCTGAAAATATAAAGTTGTCAAATTTTAACAGACACATGAAAAGCATTAAATAAAAAGAAAATTTTGGACAAAAGTTTACTACGCCATTTTGATGATCATGAGCTAATGGGCTGTTATTGGAGAGTGGGAGAGAATGTTGGGTGCTTTCAAAACGTATTTACTGTAGTGCGTATTGTTGGACTAATATTATTAGCCCTTGCTCTATAATGGGCTTTGAAATATCTAAGGCCCGTCTATAATTTTGTGCTGGGCTTATTCTATTTTTAGGAGAAGCCTTTTTCAGTTTTCTCCGTCATCACTCATTTTTATTTTGCGCTTCTTTTAAATCTGAAGTTCAAACAAAAAAACACCCCGAAATCTCTCACTCGAACAAACTCATATAAATAACGTTCGTTTACTTTATATATATCAAGTTGTAGTCTTTAAAAATCATGAAAAATACTCTAAAAGGAGTATAATTTTGTGGATCGGTGGAAAAATTAGCATCACAGTGCTGTCTTTTTGGGAATGGCCGAGGTGTTCTTGGGGATACCGAAACATTTATATCCCTCCACTCCACGAAAAGATATGAAGTGATATTTTAAACCTTTTTTGTCGTTTTTCCTTACAATGATTGTATAAATAGTACTAGTACAGTTAAGATAATCATACATATGTCTTTAATGTCTTTCCTTGACTTTTCCCATCTTCGCTAGTCGCTAGGACTGCTTGTTGACCTGCATCTATGTGCTTACGTACACTAAACTTTTTCAAACGAAATACACTGAACGCTAAAACATAACGTAATAGTATATTTTTGATTAACATACAAAGAATTTAGAAAAAAACAAAAGGAATTTAAATAGAAGGAAATCGCTAATTTTGGAGTAAAATCAAAAATATACAAAAGCACAGATAGAGAAAAAAAAACTTTCGAGAGTGGTATAGACGTATTAGCTTTGGAGAAGTCAAATTGCTACATAAAGACAAAAAATCTATCGATATTGTATCATTACTTTATGTACAAACAATATTACCGATAAGAGTGGGACCCCAGTAAGCAGAAAGATAAATACGAAGGTAGACTGCTTCTGCTCCAAACGACATTACGATACAAATCTCTAATTATAAAGACATGGCTGATTCTTTAAGCTCACGGATTTCTCCTTACGAAACCTAATCCAACCAATTACTCCATCTTTCTCTCTGTAAGCAATAAGTGGAAGAAGAAGAGAGAAACAATAACATGGAAGAAGAAGGAACTAGAAGAAGCAGAGGGCATCCTCTGTTGAGATCGAAGAAGAGACAAGGAGGCTACAACCATGGCTTCTCACAATCTCATATCCAAACTCTAGCCGTCATCTGTCAAACACTCCTCCCTCCTCCGCCGACAAAGCAGCAGACTCTCGATTCCTTCGACGTTGCCTCGGGCTCTCAGCCACCATTTCCGGATGAGGTTCTCTCTCTCTTATTCCTCTGTTTTCTAATGTCGAATTAGTCGAATCTGGGAAACAGTTCTTATTGACCTTTTGGTGACAAGATCTTGCTTTGACGAAGGCAATATTAGCTTTATAGTTACTGTTTCTAGAAAGTTTGGTGGGTCTTGTTCTTTTTTTTTGTTTCCTTTGGCTCATAACGTTTTGTTTATTGTTTTACTGATATCACTGTAGGTGGCAGAGATGATAGTGAAAAACGGACGATCAGAAGCAGTGAAGATTTTGAGAATCGTATTGACGATTCTATCATTCAGATTTGGAACTTTATTGCTTTGTGGCTCTCTCTGTCTTGTCAAGAAATGGCCTCTTGTCCTTAAATTCTCTCAACTTCCATTGGATAAAAGAGAAGAGATCCTGAGGAAATGGTCGAGACAGAGTGGATTTCTTCTTCCCCTTCGAATCACTTTCTTCCTTGCCAAATTCTACACTCTCTTCTACTTCTTCTCCCAGGTAACATCAAAAAGCCAACAATTTCACCGATTCAAGTTTATCTGAAAGTAAACGAGGATAACCAACATTAGTTGATATGTTCACAGACTGATGAGAACCAGAAGAATCCTGCATTGGAAGCGATAGGGTATTGCATCGACAAGACAGAGACAAGTAGCGACAAGACGAGCAAAGAAGACGAAGAGACACGACGACCTCTCGAGAAAGGGATCATTGAGACCAAGCACGAGAGTGACATTACCATCACACAGTCTCTAATCGCAAAAGGCGTCCATGTCGCTAGAGAAGACGATGATGATAACGTGCACAGGATCAGATGCGATGCGGTTGTTGTAGGCTCAGGAAGCGGAGGAGGTGTAGCGGCTGCAAACCTCGCGAAAGCCGGATTGAAAGTGTTGGTCCTAGAGAAAGGGAACTACTTCGCAGCTCAGGACTATTCAGCTTTGGAAGGTCCCTCTATGCTCGAGCTATACGAGAAAGGCGGGCTTTTGACGACGGTCGACGGGAAATACATGATCTTGGCCGGTTCAACCGTTGGAGGAGGTTCAGCGGTTAACTGGTCAGCATCAATCAGAACACCGGATCACGTCTTGCAAGAATGGTCGGAAGAGAGCAAGATCAAGTTTTTCGGTAGCCATGAGTACCAATCTGCAATGGATGAAGTTACTAGAAGGATCGGCGTCACGGAGAGATGCGTCAAAGAAGGGTTTCAGAACCAAGTTCTGAGGAAAGGCTGCGAGAGGCTCGGTTTGAAGGTGGTGTCGGTTCCGACCAACTCATCAGATGATCATTACTGCGGTTCTTGCGGGTATGGTTGTAGAGGAGGAGACAAGAACGGGACAGACAGAACCTGGCTGGTCGATGCCGTAGAGAACGGCGCAGTGATCCTGACAGGTGTCAATGCCGAGAGGTTTATACTAGTTGACAACGCTAACGAGAGAAAGAAACGATGCGTGGGAGTGATCGCGAGCTCTGTTGGAGGAACGATTGAGAAGAAGCTCATGATCGAAGCTCGAGTGACGGTTTCATCCGCTGGTTCGCTGTTGACACCGACTCTGATGCTTTCGAGTGGGCTAAAGAACCGGAACATCGGGAGGAACCTCAGGCTGCACCCGGTTCTCATGACATGGGGATACTTCCCGGAGAAAGATTCTGACTTCTCCGGGAAAATATACGAGGGAGGGATCATCACCTCTGTACATCACGTAAACGATGCTGAATCGGGTTGCAGAGCGATACTTGAGAATCCTCAGATAGGACCAGCTTCGTTTGCGGGTTTAAGCCCGTGGGTTTCAGGAGCAGACCTTAAGGAGCGGATGATGAAGTACGGAAGGACAGCTCACGTGTTTGCTCTGATTCGGGACAGTGGCTCAGGTGAGGTAATGAAAGAAGGCGAGGTTACATACAGAGCAAGCAAGAAAGATAGGGAGAATCTAAGGGCAGGGCTTAGACAGGCTTTGAAAGTTTTGGTTGCAGCGGGAGCTGTTGAAATCGGAACATACAGGAGCGATGGACAGAGGATGAAGTGTGAAGGGATCACCAGAGAAGCCATGGAAGAGTTTCTAGACGGAGTCGATGCGGTTGGTGGGGTGAGCACGAAAGGGGAGCATTGGACGAGTTACTTCTCGGCTCACCAGATGGGGAGTTGCAAGATGGGACGCACGGAGGAGGAAGGTGCGTTGGACGAGAAAGGTGAGAGCTGGGAAGCCGAGGGACTGTTTGTCTGCGACGGAAGTGTGTTGCCGTCAGCTGTTGGTGTAAACCCAATGATCACCATTCAGTCTACTGCTTACTGCATCTCCAAGAGGATTGTTCAGTCGCTGCAAAACGAGGACGAGTTATAGAAGAAGAAACAGAGAGAAAGTAAGTGATGAAACCATCCACGTTTACGGAGAGATTTTCAGATTACGATTCGTATTTTATATTGAATAAGTGTTCGTTTCTGGCAAGAAGTCACAATTGGACAATCTGTTTTTGCAATGAAACCGGACCAGTTCCCAAAAAAGATATCAAAGTTTTGTTTATTGACAGAGACAAACTCGAGATCTATAAGAAAACTTGAAGAAAATGGGAAAAAAAAGGTAAGACCTTTAGATTCTCAATGCAATCAATATCTCCATCTAACCCAATGTAGTTCATCCTTGGGAGTAGCCACTTGGGCACTAGGCTCTTTTGAAAGAGTCGCATAAGCGTTTAGGAGCACATATGAAATACGAAAGTAACCTGTTGGTTTGATAGTCGTGGATATCGACGGAGCTGTTGCTGTTGCCATTTCCCGGCGACGGACAGAGAGAGCTAACAAGACAAGCTTGTGCTAGACTGATATTTTGGGCCTGGCACTTATGAAAACTCGAGATCCGTAAGAGAACTTCAAGAAGATGGGTAAATCAATGGATATTTTCACGAATAAAGACAATTTAGAAAGATACTGTTTTCAATTATTTCCTTAATGACAAAAAATAAATATATAAAACGATGGAGAATATCTTAACTATAGTTTACTATTATGAAAATGATATATATATATATATATATATTTCCTTGTTAATGAAATGCACTAACGGGTGAACTATTTATTATGGTGTAGACAAAGAAATACAAAATAGAACCATTTTTGTTTGTTTGATAAAGGCATTCATCAGTTTGTGCGTAAGGAGCAAAATGAGAATCACTGTGAGTATCCCTAATCCATATGTCAAAGCTTACGTCGTTGTCTTCATCGTCATCTTGTTGGCCATTTTAGCGTGCTGATTCGATCGAAAATCCCTAAGAGCATCTCCAATTTATTGCTATTTTTTTCTACTTTTAGATGAAAAAATAGAGGTGTCATTTTTGTTCTCCAATCCACCTCTATTTTAGAGGAAAAAATAGAAATGTAACTTTTTCTTTTAAATATAGAGAAAAAAATAGGTTCCTCTATATTTTCCTCTAAAATAGAGATATTCCTCTAAAATAGAGGTGGATTGAAGAGAAATCTACCTCTATTTTAGAGTTTCTCTATTTTGGAAGAAAAAATAGCAAAATAAATTAGAAATGGTCTAAAAAAAGACTCTGATGGAACTACTTCGTAAACTTAAATACATATGTAATTCAATATTTTTTTAAAAACTAATAATTATCAATTGATTGACGATAATTCTAATTTTTTTTTTCGTTTTTGTTTTTTTAGGTAGGTTTCGTACTTCATAGTTATCGAAACAATGATTTCGAATATACAACAAGTCTAGCTTTCTTTTTGAATTTGTTATATATGCTTTTTAAAATAATTTTAATGCCATGTATTATATAATTGACATATCATATTGATTTTTGTTATATCAAAGTAGAACCCTAGGTAAGTGAAAAGAAGAATAATAACCACAAAATAAACTGGGTTCCTTATCTCTCTCGAAGATTTGGACTCTTTGGTAAGTATGATAATCATTCACACAAGTCAATGTAAATGTAAGACACACTAGGCACTTTCAGAGAGTTGCATAAGCTTTATGAGCACGTACGAAATAGGAAATGTACAAATCCGATATGAAGAAAGGAACCTGATATGATGGTCCTTTGGCTATTGAGATGACGACGAGGGAGTGAGATATCACCAAGACAAAGCTTGTGTCATAGACTGATATGATATTATTTTGTATCATAATATTACATATTTAAAAACCTGAAAATTAAAATAGTTAATTTACATTTTGTAATGAGAAACTCTCTGAGTAAAAATCGTAACTTAACATTAGTTCTCAATCTAACCCAATGTGTAGTTCATCCTTGTTATACTGATGAAGAACTTTTATGGATATCTTACTAATGCAAAGAATAATGTACATCAATAATATGTAAATTTCTATTTTTATTTTTTGTCATAATAGTACATTATTCTAAATGGCAATATATAAAAATTTACATATTATTAATGTACAGTTTACTATTATTAAAATGGCAATATATAAAAATTTACATATTAATATACTAATGGTGAACTATATATAAAATTGTCATAGACAAAGAAATACAAAACAGAACCAGTTTTTTTTTGTTAGAAGCATTCATTGATTTGTGTTGTGTGTGTAAGGAGCAATATGAGTAGCTCTAATAGCCTTAGTCATTATCTCGTAGCTTGCGTCATTGTTTTCATCGTCATCATGTCGGCCGTTGGAGCATGCTGGTTAAAAGTTCGACCATCGCTAATGAAAGAAGACTTTAATTCTCCACCAATAACTACTACTTCAGAAGTTTAAGGTATGTATATATATTTTTTTAAATTAAAAATAATTATCAATTAATTTACGATGGTTACAATCTCTTTTTTTCTTGTAGGTTTAATTTGTCGAAGCAATGATCTCGCGCAAAGATACAAAATAAAAGTCTGGCTTTCTTTTGAATTTTGTTTTACAATATATTGCATTCCTTATTTTTATGCCATGTATTAAAAATAACATGATTTTTCTTATACATTTAAAGTAGAACCCTAATTAAAGTGAAAAAGATTACTATCCACCAAAAAAACGGGTTTTCTTATACAAGTCTATGTAAATTGTGAGGAGCACTAAACAAAACAAAACAAAAATCATTAGTTATATTGCAAGCTCAACTTCAACTTCAAGCTATGACTCATCAAAACGAACCAACTTTTCTCATGACTTTTGTATATATTCTCTTGAAATTTTGGACTCTTGGGAACTATCAGCTTCAAACAAACACCATCGGTTTCAAATCATTCACACAAGTGATCATTACTTGGGAATTGAATATCGCATAAAACACATACAATAATTTTATTATATTACAATCAAACATGTTCAAAACTTTTGATGATTATAAGCGCATCTAGAAACAGAGAACTTCGGTAACAACTAACAACAAGTTCATCAAAATCTGTGATTTTTTTAGTCCCAAAATCCAAACTTTACCTCATCACCAGCTATTTCCATAAGCCTCTCTTCCCTCTCGATTTCAAAACGTAACAACATAAATAATAGGTCGAATAACTCCTGTATGATCTCTCTTTTATCTCTTCTTCTTCCGAGCATCATAGCACATGTTAGAATCTCAACATCCTTTTTCCGACACTGACCCTTTGAGTTCACTACTCGTTCCCATTGACAAACTAACAATACGGGGTTACCTTAGCCTTGTCTACCCACGAAGGTCTCTTTGCTTTATAGTAGAAATGCGCAATCATCTGAACCAATTCATCCGCCGTACGAAAGTCTGCATCAAGTTCAACACTGTGAGATGATGATGATCCATTGCTCATATATATTGCCAATAAAAAGAAGGAAAACAGTATTTAGCAACACATCTCCTATCACCTTTCTCTCTGTATAGAATCCTGTTTCCCCGTAAAAACAAAAGTTGTGGGCATTCCTTAGCTTTAAGAGCATATGCCAAATCTGTCTCGATGTTCAGGTCAATCTTAACCGCCTGTTGCATCAAACATGGTGATCCTTGTTAACACTTAACAACATGTAGAGAGACAATGAGAGCAAAGTATTTTGGACACGGAAAGTAATGGTGCAAAACTGCAAACTACACAATGGCTTCTGTCATACCCGTGGAGGTAATCGATCTTTCGCTTCCCAATAGACTTTGATCGCTTTCTCAAGCTCCTTCAATGTCTTCCAGTTATCACTAGCCCTGTAAATGCCAAGCAAGTCAAGTAATTACTCTTTAACTATTCGAACAAACAACCAAAGCTCAGCTATATAGTTGGTGAGAAAACTTTGAACAACGTTTTGAAATGTATGATTCCTTAAAAGACATGTTTTGTGTCTCCATTGCAGTTTGATGATCATGGAATCTAATTTTAATGGTTCGTTTCATGTGCAATGACATTGAAAAGGAAAAAAAGACAAAGCCTTTCACAGTTTGAATTGTTTTCTCCAATGCACACAAGGTGTTTGTGAAAATTCTTCAACGAAGTAACAAAGCTTTTACCTTTTGTATCGCTCGAACACGAGGACGACGAGCGGGCTGGGATGAAAGGCAAAGCTTTCCCACTCCAAACAGTTGATCTCTTTGACCCAACTGTCATCAATCTCGCCTTCCCAGTCGATCTCAGTCCCGTCTTCTCCGACCACGTTTTTGATTGGATGTGTATCGAAGTACTCCGAAGCTTTGATTCCCCATCCAACATCCGTATCTAGTGGCCAATCTGGATCTTCTTCTTCCACCACCATCTTTTCCTCTTCACCTTCGCTTTCATCTTCGTCTTCCTTTTCCCCGCCTCTGTCCTTGATGAAATCCGCCTTCTCCTTGTTCTCGAAAACCTCCGGATTCTGCTCTCGTATGGTGGAGAAGGTGCGCTCGAGTGAGTTTCTCACGAAATCCTCAACAGCGTCCGCCTCGCTCCTCCGCCCGCGCTTCGATTTACGCGGGACCTTCGTCGGAAACTTATCGCTCTCTGCTTCACCGATCCCCGTCGCTTCCTTCTTCTGGCGACGGGTTCGAGATTGATTTTTGGGTTTGAGATCGGATTCAGGGTCGGGTACGGCATCAGACGAAACAGCAGCAAGGCATACCGGAGGTTTCACGCTCCGGGATGATATACTCGCCGGGAAAGCCGAAAGTGAAGTGCGATACACATCGGAGTAGCTCGAATTTAAGCCGGTGAAGAGCATGGAAGATCTTGGCGCGAAGCAAGCTACAGCTGCGAAACTCATTTCTCTCTCTCTCTTTAGGCAAAATTCAAACGAAATTCACAGAAAAATCATTAGGGAGAGCGATAAAAGGAGACGAGGCTCCCCAACTTTAACATCATGAAATGACGTCGTTTCGACTACATATACCTTAAAGCCAAACCGAAAATAAACCAAAACCGAAAATAAACCAAAACCGAAAATATTCCAAACCGGGACAATACCACGGGTTACTTTCGAGCGGTGTTAATCTTGTTAGGTTATAATTTTCCATACCTATCAATTAAATTCAAACCAATACTACTGTTTACGAAACTTTTTTAAGAAATGGTAATATAAATTTTAAAGGGCGTGTTATTAATCGTGTTAGATTTTACTTTTGTGAACATATACGTAATCCATAATTTTTTGTTTCGGGAAATCAAATATATTAATACCATAAAGAGTTTACAAGATACAAAAACATTCCTAATACAACATATACGTAATCCATATATATGTACATATCGTGTTATCACAAATTAAACAAGTTAATTAATGGCGGAAATAAAGCGTAACTTACATAAGACCCGAAAACGTAAAGTTTACATTTTTGTGTGTAACCACAAAACTGTAATCTTATCAATAACACATATACACGTAGTGTCTATATATAATTTGTGTAGAAGAAGCATAACTAGATCAGTGCAAGAAGAAAACAGAGATTTACTGACGGTACGAAGACGATATGGAGCCGATGGTTTTCGCAGTTTTTTTCATTGGCTCGGTGATTTGCGTCGTGGGGGTTATAAATATATCAGGTTATCTTTGGGGAACATGGTGTAATTACCATAAAAGTGATGCAAAAACTGATGTTTTGAATGAGGTATACGTCGATGATCATCTTCTTTGTCATGTATATATATGTATTTGTTCTTCAGATTATAAGTGGATTACTAACTTTTAGTATCATGACAGGTTTGATGACACAAACGTACTGACCGGTTTGGTTTGAGAGGTGTGCTTACTGCTCGCAACCCCAAACAAAAAGAATTTTTTTTTTTTTTTTTTTTTTTGAAGAATTCTTTTTTCCTATAGTATAAACAAAGTTTTGTTAAACTGGATTTAAAGTCAGTTTGCTATTTAATCTGTTTCGTTCCTATTGAGCTATTTTATAGATGCTTGGTATTTACGAATAGACACTATAGTGGATACTCAAAAAAAGTCTTCATATTGCGTCTGTCATGTTATTATTACATACATTGTTCACGATATTAAAGTTTGAATAGGAATATAACTATAAAAGTATGGATGGTGGGATTAAGTTCATTACATAGATTTACAAATTTGGAAGTTGGTTTTTCTTTCTTAGTGTTAATAGAAGACAATGAGAAAGATACTATAAAATATAAATACCTTTAAAACTAGGGACAAACACTAATTGTAGAAGAACTGGTGTGTGTTTTCACCTAAAAACTTTTAAAGTGTCCATGATTCATCATTTTTGTTTCTTGTTGCCATTTCAAATTTTTTCTATGCTCCTCCATTCATATTTAATGTTTCCGTGACCACTATTAATATTGAAGTAATTAATGAAAACCAAAAAACGTGGGACCTGTAAAAGACATTTTCAACACGCGGAAATTAGGAAATTAAAGATATGAAAAAAAGAAAAAGAAAAGGAAAAATATAAAAAGGTAATAAATGTGTAGAGTAGTGATTTTAACTAACACCTATCTCTCATCTCGTGTTCCAAAGCTTCAGAAAATTCCATCTGCTGTTTTTATTCGCCTGCACTATTCTTTTCTTCTTCACGCCGTCTCAATTTCACAATATTTTTTTCCATTTTAATTTGATCCTTTTGGGTATTACTGAAGAAACACCAAACAAAGAGGCAGAAACTCACTCACATCAATGCAGAAAGCGACAAAGAAAAAGGCGGAGAGAAAGTAAAAGGGTGAGAGAAGAAAGATCAGATTTTTATTTCTTTTACTCTTTTTTTTTTTAAAATTGCTTCGCTTGATTGCTTCGAATCGGAATAAGTCTGAAGAAATTCGAGGCGACCATGGCTGTCGGCTTCCTTATTTTCTCTGATTCTTCTTCTTCTTCTTTCCCGGAAACTCAAAGGTGCGCTCTTTTTCCTCTCTCTCTTTCTCCCCTTTGTTTCTTGATCATCCTTGTTACTTCAATCTATCCAATTGGTTTTGCGATTCGATCGAATTTAGGGTTTTTATTGTTCAATTGTCATTGTTTATCTCAATTACTTTCTAAATTTTCGAGCTTTTGGATACTGAACTGAGTTAGAATCCCCAAAGTCCTCGATTTTCTCTCGGATTCGCATTTTTCTAAGGGTGAGTTTTAAGTTAAATGCTGAAATTGTGACTGCCCTTTGTCGAAAATCGTTCTTTCAATTGTTAAAGGGTTCGAGAATTGGATCATAACGTTTTGAAATTCTCAAGATTTTGATCATAAAGTTCTGATTCTGTCCATTGCAGTAAATATCCTATCGCATTAATGTGAATGTTTATTCTCTGTTTCTGTTACGTTTGATCCAAAAATCTCAATCTCCTTGAAGAGTCTAATAATATCTGTTCTTCATTATGGTCTGGTGCAACTTTGAAGATCATCAAACCTTCTGAGAAGCTATGAAGAGCAGCGAGATTAGGTCGGAGAAGTTGCATCCAAGCAAACTAAGACAGAGTTTAAGGAAGATCAGAATGAAGTGTTTGTGTTCTGGTGAACAAATGCAGCTCAGAGAGGATGAAGACAAGCGATCTGAGCTAGGAGTAGGCAGAGACTACAACGTGAGCTCGGCTTTATCAGCTGCAGAGAGTGAAAATGCCAAGAAACTAGATAACGGGAACATCGAAGAAGCCGAGTTATCTCTGCGTGAGACAAGTTCATTGAACTACGAGGTTCGATTTCTCGATTTACCTATAACCTTTCTTGCTCATCGAAGAGAAAGCTGAATCCTTGTGTTGTTGTTGTTGTTGTTTCAGGAGGCGAGAGCACTTTTGGGAAGGATTGAGTATCAGAAAGGAAACATAGAGGCGGCATTGCGAGTCTTTGAAGGGATAGATATCAATGGGATCACAATAAAGATGAGAACCGCTTTAACCGTTAGAGAAGAACGGAACAAACATAGAAGACGGTCTAAAGGCGGACTCGGTTCTGCTCCTCCGCCTCCGATGTCCAAACATGCTGTTAGTTTGCTTTTCGAAGCCATTTTTCTCAAAGCCAAATCTCTCCAGCGTCTTGGAAGGTTCCAAGGTAGTCAATAGTCTTCTTCTTCTTCTTTATTTTTTATTTCGTTTCTTAGTTTTTGGCTAAACAGAGAATTCTTCTTCTTGCAGAAGCTGCGCAGTCTTGTAGAGTTATTCTTGATATAGTCGAGGCTTCGTTATCGGAAGGTGCGTCGGAAAATGTCACTGGTGATATTAAGTTGCAGGAGACGCTGACGAAAGCAGTTGAGCTGCTTCCTCAGTTGTGGAAGCTCGCTGACTCGCCTCGTGATGCTATCTTGTCGTATAGACGAGCGCTTCTCAACCACTGGAAACTCGATCCGGAGACGACGGCGAGAATACAGAAAGAGTACGCCGTGTTTCTTCTCTATTCAGGTGAAGAAGCAGTGCCGCCGAACCTTCGCTCTCAGACGGAGGGATCTTTCATCCCGAGGAACAATGTGGAGGAAGCTATTCTTATTCTCATGTTGCTTCTCAGGAAAGTTAACCAGAAAAGAATCTTGTGGGATGCGGCGATCTTGGACCATCTCTCGTTCGCTCTTACAATCGCAGGCGATCTAACCGCTCTCGCTAAGCAGCTCGAAGAGCTCAGCCCCGAGATATTGGACCAGAGGGAGCTTTATCATACATTGTCTCTGTGTTACCAAGGTGCAGGGGAAGGTCTTGTCGCGCTCGGTTTACTGAGGAAGCTGTTTTCAGAACGGGTGGATCCAAACCGGATCTCCGGTTTGCTGATGGCTTCCAAGATATGTGGTGAGAGGTCTGGTCTCGCCGAGGAAGGGCTAGACTATGCCCGGAGAGCTATTGGAAACTTGGGGAACGCATGCGTGCAGTTAGACGGTGCGGCTCGTCTAGTTTTAGGCATCACGCTCACGGAAAGCTCGAGAACGGTTGCTACGGAGGCCGAGCGGGTAGCTAGGCAATCCGAGGGGATGCAGGCGCTGGAATCTGCGGATATGACAGACACGAGAGTCCTGCACCGTCTTGCGTTGGAGAATGCAGAGCAGAGGAAGCTGGATTCGGCTTTAGCGTATGCTAAGCGGGCGTTGAAGCTTGGAGCTGAGTCGGATCTTGAAGTATGGTTGCTTCTTGCTCGGGTTTTATCCGCGCAGAAGCGGTTTTCAGACGCAGAGACCATCGTTGATGCGGCGCTTAACGAGACAGGGAAGTGGGAACAGGGGAAGCTGTTGCGTTTGAAGGCGAAGCTTCGTTTAGCTAAAGGAGAAGTTAAGGATGCTATAAAGACTTACACACAACTTCTCGCACTCCTTCAGGTTCAGAGCAAAAGCTTCAATTCTACTAAGAAGCTTCCAAAGGTATGTTAATGAATATTTTTCCCACCAAACTTTACAAATTGAGAAGAATCAAACACTGAAACAGAGATCTGTTCATTACAGGGATATGTAGAGGGATTGAGGAGTCTGGAGCTTGGGACGTGGCATGATCTTGCTCATATCTACATTAACCTCTCGCAATGGCGTGACGCAGAGACATGTCTCTCGAGATCAAGACTCATCGCGCCTTACTCTCCTACTCGATACCACACTGAAGGTATTGACTTCTTCTGCTTCTTTTTCTTCCATGTGAGATTTTATGTTGATGGCTTATTATTATACATACAAATTGGTTAGGTGTACTGTACAAGAGACAGGGCCAATTAGAAGAAGCGGTGGAAGCGTTCTCAACCGCTTTAGACATCGATGTGATACACGTCCCGAGCCTGATATCGAAGGCTGAGATTCTACTGGAGCTCGGGAACAGATCAAGCCTAGCAGTTGTTAGAACTTTTCTAATGGAGGCTCTTAAGATTGATAGGCTGAATCCGTCGGCTTGGTACAATCTTGGGAAGATGTTTCAATCTGAAGGATCCGTCTCGTCTATGCAAGAAGCCGTCGAGTGTTTTCAAGCCGCCGTTACACTGGAGGAAACTATGCCGGTGGAGCCATTCAGATGATTTTTTTTTACCTCTTAAATCATTTTTGTTTTGTTTTTTTGTTCATGATTTCTTTGTGTGTTGGTTTTCGATAGATGAATATAAAAGATATATAAAGATGTATGTGTGGTATATCATTTGATGTGAAGTTTATAAACATTTGAAATACACAGTTTAATTGAATCAAATAGGTTTTGGCCAGAAATTTTCATAAGAGAGAGAAGTTTATGGAGAGAAAAAAACTGAGGGTTGAATATTCTAAAAATATCAAAACATAGAATCTGTATCCCGTAAACTAATGATGAGTTAAGCATTTAGATTACATTCGAATGAAGAAGATTCTCCCAAACTTTTTTTTATTTTGTTGGTTTCTTCTTTGGGGATCTGTTGTTTTGTCTACACAGCAGAGTTGAGAGAGTCTTCCATCAGAAAAATAGTTAAACAGTAGAGAGAGAGAGAGAGAGAGCGAAGAAGTCCTGAAGACCCTCAAAGGTAAAGAGAGCTCTCTTTCTCCTCCTTCTCTCACTGTTAAACTCTGGAACTCCGAAATGATCCAGCAAAACACCATTTCTTAGGGTCGAGAAATTCTTTCAAATATCGGTTTTGGCGCGCTTTGCCTGCGGAGATTCTGGCTCTTGGCATTTCCTACTGGCTTCATCGGGTGCGAGCTCCTCTAAATCAGCGGTTTTCTTGGCTTCTTTCTCGGATTTGGGTGGCGAATCTGATGTTGAGGCTGCCCCTTTGCTGAGACCAGAGCTTTGCTTCTCGAACATCATTTGCAGGTACTTGCCTTGTTCTTCTATCCGGAGTTGCAGGTTTCTTTGAATCTGCAGGGACATGAAAAGGAAAACATTTTGATCCAAACTCATAATCTTTAGAATCACATATCACCTTTGCAGCTTCATGAATCCAAAGTTAACACAGGCATAAAAACCAAAGCTATAGGCAATGCATTTTATGAATATAGATAAGATGTACCTCGAGCTGCTCATGGAGTTGCTTCTGTACTTCCATCTGAAGTCGCAGAGCTTCGGTGATACCTATCCCACTGTAGTATAAATATGATCAGCAAAAATAATTGTTAGACTTCATACAAGGAGATAAAAGATCATCTTTTAAATAGTAGTGTAGGCACTTGTGATGTTACCAGACAAAGAAAAGCTTACCCTTTCAAGTCAAGAGATGTTATATGTTCAAGCGGTGTCAACTTCTTCTCTGGCGAACCTGTAAAGCTCAAAATAAATTGATTTTAAACTGAATTCTACGGTAAGAAAGGAAATTAAAAATTGCAAAAGAGAACGATATCTACCAGTTTCTGATGGTTCTGGCCTATATCTAGCCGTCCTATACTTCTGCAGTTCATAAATAAAACACCATCTTTATATTAGAGGACAAGTTCTATGCATTTAGCAGCAAGAAAAAAAATGGCGAGAGGAGAAAATTATAAGAACCTGCAAATGGCTCTTGACATGATATATAGTCAAGCCTTCAACTTTCATAATCTTAAGCACACCCTTAGGAGTAGCTCCTGCATATATATATATATATAAAAACATGAGTTTTAACCAGAAGAAAAATTTACCATCATCTTTCCATATGCCAAAGCAAAGTTTCTGAAAAGCAAATAGAAATAAGTGCTCACTGTCACTGCCACCAAGACTGTTGACAGCCTCAACAAAAGCCTCGTGAAGCTCTGGCGTCCAACGCATACGTGCCTTGCCCGATCCGTTATTACTGTTTGAAGATGTTGTGCTCACAGGTCGCAGTTCCACTGACACAGACGGAGAAGGTTGCTGCTGAACAATCTGAGGTTGCGGTGTAATTTGCAGAGCTTTCTGGTCCTAAAACCAGGTAACAAAATGAGAACAGAGGGAATAAAAAAAAAGAGAGTAAACTATAGACTTTGGAAAGACATTTCAACAAACCTTTGAATCTGAGTTGGAACTTGTGTCAAGCAAGAGATCGTTCCAGTTAGTAGATATCAAAGGATCCTCATCGGTGATCAAGTGGTCAGCCCATTCTTGCCAATCACTTCGTTTCTGAATGTCGTCAAACGCCGCGCCGATGCCAATGCCGCCGTCGTCGAGCTGGCCGTTGTTCTGAATGGCCTGGTGGGTTTCAGGGAAGTCAATAAACCCTCCGGGGAGTGAATCAGGGCACCAAGAACCGTCGTTGTTGCTCGATGCCTGAGATACGAGATGCGTGGCAGCGTTGCTGCTGCTGCTGCTGCTTCCTCCTTGATAGTGTTTCTCGTGAGACACCATAGATGAGTAGTGGAGATTGGTCGAGAAACCGGACGATGACGAGGAACAGATATGTCCGACTGCTCCTCCGTTGCTGGAAGGGAGTAAATGGTAGGTTTGTCCTAACGGTCTAGACATTAAGTGAGTGTTGTCTGATCTCATGAAAACATCTTCTGCTGCTAAAGGGTTTGGTGTTGATGGAATTGAAGAAGTGCGTGCTAGGTTACTGAGCTCCCTAGAACCTGATCTCTGAACTGGACGAGCCTCCATTGTTGTCCTGCCGAAACAACAATCATTAATCTCCAAAAATTGAATTTTTTCTTTTATAGAATCTGTAAAGACATCATTCTGAAAAGACTCAAGAACCTTGATGATATCTGTAAACGAAGACTTGTTTGTTCTTGAAGATTCTAGTGGGTGCGCCCCAAGTCGAATCATCAAAACTCGCATCTGATACACGAAAAATAGATCGACAGGTGAGAAATCTGTAGAATAGTAAAACACCAAACTCCAAAGATAAGCAAATCCGAGCTCGCAAAAACCTCAGTGAACACAGATGCGATTCGGAAAATATCTAGAAATAGAGACAGAACCCAAAAACATCAGACTGAAGCTCGTGAGAGCATAGGATTTTCACTGCCTGATGTAAAAAATTTAGCGATTTCTTTAGTAAAAACGAAATGTAGCGAGGAAATTTGAAAAACCAGCAGAGAAGGAATCGATAAGAGAAGAGGAAGAAGACGCAACTGAAACATCAAAATTCTATTATAATATAATAACACAAGCATCGAGAATCATTGACAAAGCTAAAAGCCTACAACACATTATCCAACCAAACATCAAATTCGCTGGAAAAACAAAAACAAAAACAAAACAGTAAATAAACCCAATCGAATCCGAATCCACCAATCATGAACGGTTAGCAAAGATATCTGCACTTATGCTCGAAAGATATAAATTCTCTTCCTGTAGATTAACAAACGCGGAAGAATCGAAAACTCTCACCTAGCAATTCATGAGAAAAAGTCCCGGACCTAGGAGACGAATCGAATCCAGAAAATAAAAAAAAAATGATTAGAAAAATTCCCCTCTTGAGGAAAAATCGGAGAATCGTCTTGTTGGGTGTTGTCCGCAAGAGAAAGTTGACGGTGATTTTCGCTCTTTGTAATTTCCCAGTTGAAGGAGGAGGTGGTGGTGGTGGCTGTCTTAACAAAGGGATCAGCAGTCGTGTACTTACGCGCGGTGAAGCAGCGCGTGGGATGACTCGCTTGTCAGGACCCACTCAAATTCCCACGTGGAGACTGTTTATTGGATAATTGGAATCATTAATTAGGCTTGGTCTTTTTGCGGTTTTTTAATTTTCTGATTTCTCTTTTCACTAACCTAAAAAAGGCCACAAAGGCCCAAGTAGTTCTCAATTGATATTTTTTCGCAATTTCCGTGTCCAATAAGAATAAAGATGTTATCATAGAGTTTCGGCTCCATCCCGTTTGAATCTCAGTCCATTTTAATCCCTGACTTTTTTTAATTTAAGCTCAATCCTCTTTTCTAACTCCAATTTGAATTCAGATGGTGGTAATACAGCAATAAACACTATCAAAACTGCTATATTACAATTTTTTTTCAGTTTACTTATAAAATGATGATAAAATTTGATGGATTTGAAAGGACTTAGCCACTTCTTGCTCTAAAAAAAATTAAAATCATTAAATTGTTATGTATCGCGATTATATAAATTATTAATTTTGATATATTTATCTTTATATAATAAAATTTATAGAATAAGATAAGATTAAGAATACAATTTTTTTTTTTTTTAGAATTAATGTTTTATGTTATTTTCCTTTTTTCAAACTTAAATATATAATTTTTATTATCTTTATTTTTTATAATTTTACTAGAGACATATGTCAAAATAAGAATTGAACGATGTGCTACGTGTCATGATTATATGAATTACTAATTTTGATGCATCCAACTTTATATAATAAGATCTAACAGTACATAAATAATAAATATATATATATATATATATAATTCTTACATCTTTAGCCGTATTTTCTGTTATTTTTGAACCATTTTTAAATATAACAAAAATTGCAAAATATTTTCTTTTATTTTTTTTCTTTTATAATTAGAAGTTTATCTTATTTATTTTTATTTTCGTTTTTAATGGAAATATAAATTTTTTTTTCCTTCTAGAATTAAAAGTTTAACTTATATCCCTTTTTTCTTTCAAAATTAGAGGTTTATCTTATTAAGTTAATTTTATTAATTTAATCACAACACCTGTCAAAATCTGATTAATTGATTCGTACATATCACAATCATATGAACTATTAACTTTAACCCATCCAACTTTATATAATAAGATAATCCCAAAAAGCAATGAAAGGAGAAATGGTTCAGTCATTACAACAGCCATTGTATTTGTTTTTATGGGGTTTGCTTATGCTACATTACTTGGTTAAGAAGAGAATTATAGTTAAACCACCCACTCTAGTACCTGCATCTGCATCATCTCCACTCACTGTAATGGTGAAGGGTGGGACGAAAGCCCTTTTGCTGACATTCTTTTTGGTTATTAATGCCTCTTTGAAAAAGGAAGACCGCAAGTGGGTCATAATATATTGCATATCCTGGTACATGTTCATAGTTCACATAGCTGTTCTGTTTCTAGTTTCGGATGTCTTAGACGTGGCTGGATGTGTCCTCGCTGCTTCGTTTGGTGTCTTATGATTAGAAAAACAAAAAAAAAACCTAATGAAAGGGAAGTGGTTCAATCCTTGTGCAATTCTTTAACTTAGACTCTGATCATTACGGGAATATGGATTGCAATTCCTTAACTTGACTCTGATCATTAATGGAATATGGATTAGTGTTAGAGATTTAGTGATTCATATATGCAAACTCGAATGTTAAAATATCAAAAGATTGAATTTCTTAGGAGGATGAATGATCCTTGTCATTTTGATATTTCTCTTCTCAATGTTACTTCCCCTGCAAGTTTTGTCTTCTCTGTGATGTTTAAACCCCAAATGGCTAGTTATCTCGCGGTTACAGAACGTTTGAATCATCTTTTACTAGAGGAGGCCAGTTCCAGGTTTTATATAGTTAGCTTATCTTGTTAAATTCAAAACATTGTCAAACTCGTGATGCTATTGCTCTCTCGATTTTGTCAAAACATTGTCAAAACTACTACAAGAAGACAAGACTTGCAGGGGAAGTAACATTGAGAAGAGAAACATCAAAATGACAAGGATTATTCATCCTCCTAAGAAATTCGATCTTTTGATATTAATGCATGCTTCACATTTGAGTTTGCACACAGTAATCACTAAATCTCTAACACTAGTCCAGATTCCATTAATGATCAGAACGAATAGGAAGGAGATGAAATTGGGAGATAGAGAAAGAGCTTCTACGTAAAGGAGGATACCGGCCTTGAACTTCAACTTTTGATTATGAAGGAAACAGAACAAATATATTCATGTATTAAAGTTCATAACAAAAATCAAATTAACAACCAAAAATATAGGTTAACCTCTACTCTACAAATGATATCTCCTATTACAAGGTTACAAATGATTTTTATTTGGTTTTTGTCATCAAGGCTACAAACAAATTATACCTGCACATAATGATTCAAAATTTAGTGTAGAAGAACAACAAACAACAACAAAAGAATCAACAAGTCAATCCAATTTACTGTTTTGTTGAATCCACAACTTGGCGTATCTTCCTGATTTCCCCAACAACACTTGGTGCGTCCCTTTCTCAACCACTTTCCCATTCTCCAACACTATTATCTCATCGCACTGCATCGCAGTGGTCAGCCTGTGTGCGATGAAAACGCAAGTCCTGTTACTCGCTAGCGACCTGAGCGTTTTCATTATCTCTGCCTCGGTTCTACTGTCGAGCGCACTCGTTGCTTCGTCACACAGCAAAATCTCAGGCGACTTCAGAAACGCACGAGCAAGTGCCACTCTTTGTTTCTCTCCACCGCTCAGCATCAGCCCTCTTTCTCCAACCGATGTCGAGTATTTATCCGGGAAACTCATTATCGTATCGTGAATCGCCGCACGCCTAGCTGCATCGTACACTTCTTCCTCTGTTGCTGAAAGGTTTCCATAGTGAATGTTGTGAAATATCGTGTCATTGAATAGCACCTGCCATGCCATAAGGTATACAGTATATATATGATTGTTATATCCAACACCACAAGTTATAATCAAGAAGCATTTTATCTCCTAATGATTTATAGCTACATGCTAACTATAGTGAAAATTTACCAACTTACAGTATCTTGAGGGACAACACCAATGGAGTTTCGAAGACTATCTAGCCTCACTCCCTTTATATCCTGATCATCGATTTTAACATTTCCGGAATCTGTGTCAAAGAATCTGAATATCATTCTAAGAATCGTCGATTTTCCGCTTCCGCTACCTCCAACAATCGCCACGCTTTTCCCCGCCGGTACGACAAACGAGATCCCATCTAGAATCTTCCTCTCCGGTAAGTAGCTAAAGTGTACATTCTCGAACCGAATGCTTCCGCCTCTCAGAGCAAGAAGAGGAAGGTTTGCGTCTGTATCTCTGTCTCCGATGTCGGATCTCTCCTCAAGCAACTGGAACATTGCTTTCATGTCCACAAGGCTCTGAACTGTTTCGCGGTAAACACCACCGAGAAAGTAAAGAGGTAGAGACAGTTGGAAGAGAAGACCATTCACCATCACCAAATCGCCAACTGTCATCTCTCCGTTCATAATCCCTTGAGAACACAACACCATCGCTGTTGACAAAGCCGTACTAAATATAACACTCTGTCCAAAATCCAAAAAGGCGAGGCTTTTCTGAGTTCTCGAAGCAGCGTCTTCGTAGTTTGCGAGCAGCTCATCGTACTTTCGAGCTTCGTAGTCTTCGTTGTTGAAATACTTTACAGTCTCGTAGTTTATGAGTGAGTCGATGGATCTTGTGCCAGCATCGTTATCAGCTTGGATCATAGCTTTTCGAAACTTGGTTCTCCACTGCGTCACAACCAATGTGAAAGCTATGTATGATCCAACAGAGACACAAGTAATCAAGCCAAAGGCAGCTCCGAAATTGTACGCTAATATACCTGCGACCATAGATATCTCCAAGATTGTGGGGACAACATTGAAAACCATAGCTGAGAGGATCGTGTTTATCGCTCTGCTTCCACGATCGATGATTCTGTTCAAAGCTCCTGTTTCTCGATTTAGATGGTAACGAAGGTCGAGATCGTGTAGATGCGAGAGCACTTTTCTTGAGACGGATCGTATCGTGCGGAGAGCTACTTTGGAGAAAACGGCAGTACGAAGCTCGTTAAACGCAGAGGATCCAGATCGAGCGATTCCGTATCCTATGAGAACAGAGGAAGGTGTTGCGAAAGCAGCAAGGAGATACGGGTTTGAAGCGGCGATTGAAGAAGATGAAGGCGAAGAGAGTAAATCGATGGATAATTTGAAGAGGAAAGGGACTTGAACGTTCAAAAACTTGGCTCCAACGAGACAAGCTAATGCAGTGATGACTCTGAGACGGAGTTCTGGGTTGTCTCTCATCCATAGATAGCTGGAAACCGTGCGGAGGATCTTCTGCGACGACGTCGTGTTGATTTGGTCTTGAGATTTAGAGGTGGTTGTTCGATCTGGATTTGGAGTTGAAGTTGAAGATGAGAAGAACAGAACGGGTGGGTTGACTCTGGAACTAATCGGAGATGAGGATGGATCCGAGAGGAAGGCATTGATGGATGGATATTTCCGAATTGAGTTACTTTTGTTAAAATTGGGCAAACTGTGGAAACTGTGATGATGATAATCTGGGCGAAGACGGTGACAAAATGAAGCGCGAGAGAGGAGAAGCCGAGATCCCCTCAACATCGCTTCTTGTCCGAACGAATCACATACAGTTTTCTCGAGATTGGTTTTTTTTGCCCTTTGGTCTGTCTGAAGTTTTTTTTGCTCGATCTCTTGCTGAATCCAGTTCCGTACCAGGCTAGCTGAAGAAGAAGAAGAGATCAAGTCGGATATAACCGGTTATGGTTTACCTGCGAAATTTGAATTGGTTTTTCAGAGAATCTATCTCGGAGATAACCGGCCCTGGTTTATTTGTCACTTGTCATTAGAATCGGATACTTATTTACGGTGTACACCACCGTAGAGAATCTCATTCAGAGCATGGGACCCACATGGACAACTAACACTTTCAACATTTCAACCCTCTTTTGCATTTAATTAATTGAACGGTTTATTTGGAAAGTAAAGAAGCAACGGTCGGTTATGTCTTCCCTCCAGACGACAGGGTTTTTATTCGGACACCACTAAAAATGGACAGCTAAACTCTCTTTAATTAAAATTCAATATTAATTACGTGATTAAAGATTAGATTGCCACTGGATTAAAATAATAAAATCTCTATAATGATGATATCTAGCTCTAAACCGGAACTAATCTCCACCGTTCGATTTTGAAAGATGGACCAAAGGACGTGGGCACGAGTCCCCCCTCTGTTCACGTGGGTCCCACGTATCTCTGTAGTATTTTTTTATAGCCGTCCGATTGAATCCCATGAAGCTGACATGTGAGCCCCCACTTTTCTGATTTTATTTAGGTTTTCGAGTTTGAGAATTGAGGATATGTACGCACAAAACATTTTCGCACTTTTATTTGTTCTTCAATTTTCCAGCCTTGTCATAATGTTTTTATTAATCCCACGGATACAACCGTTTTGATATCATTTTTCTTTTAAAACTATTCGATCTAATCTATATCAGATTTTGGAGTCAAACCAACTAAAAACAACTGAAAGCTTAACACATTAGCATTATTTTTTGACATTTTTTGTTTTTCGTTAAATTTCTATTGTAGCTTGTTATATAAGTAATTTATATACTACTGTAATTGTGGTTTGTATTGCAGTTATGAGAGTAAATTATCAATGATGACATGGAATTACACAAGTATTTTTTCATATTCAATCGCAGCAGGTACCACCTTAAGAATATTTTTGTAAAGATTAAAGAAAAGTAATGTTCAAAAAAAAAAAAAGTAACTACGAGTAAATGTATTCACGGAATAAAAGAGAGAGGTTTGTGACAAATTGAAAAAAAAGTTTCTGCGAAACAAAATAAATGTTTTGTTTTTTTCCTTTGCATCAAAATTGATAATTTTGGCGAGAAAGAAGACTAAAAGGTAGGGGAGTAAAAAGGGACAAATCCCACCCGTCGTGTCTTCTTGTTCATCCTTTGTTTCCCTTTTTTCTAATTTCTCTTTCTCACTGTTTTTGGCTTACTTAAAGTCGCAAACTTTGCTTCCAATTCAACCCATCTCTCTTCCTCTGCAGATTTTCTTCCCGTAGAACCAAACCCACAACGAGCTAATCTCCCCCGTCTCTCTATTTCTGCGGTTTCGGATTCAAATGGAAGGCGGTTCCGCTAGTGGGTCGGCTTCGACTTTGTCTAACGATGAAAACCTCGTTGTCTCTTGCGAGGATTCTTCTTCTCCTGGAGAGAATGAGCTCGAGCTCGGTCTCACGTTGAGCATAGGTCGAAAAGGTTATCGAGACTGTAGGGTTTCTCACGGTGATGATTCTTCATCTTCATCATCTTCTTCCCTGAGCAGAGCTAACGTAATTGCTGGGGTCAAGAGAACAGCTGATTCCATGGCCGCAACTAGTGGGTGAGATTCTCAAAATCCTTCCTTTTATGACTATCCTTAAGAATCGTAACCTTTTTCCCAATTCTATAAAAGCCTTTACATTAATCATGCTTCATTTGGGGATTGTCCCAATAACACCATTTAAAAAAAAATAAAAATTTTGCTTGGGATTGATCAGACAGAATGTTCTTTTGATCACTATCTGGAAATTAGGTAGATGGTTTCATCTTAAGAGAATTTCACAGTGTAGTCCATTTGTGTTTTGGTTTACTCTATGTTGAGCGTTTTGAAACCTTGCGAAATTGCAGGCAAGTTGTGGGATGGCCACCGATAAGGACTTACAGGATGAACAGTATGGTTAACCAAGCCAAGACATTGGCCATGGAAGATCCCAACACAGAGATATCAAACAAGAAGAATGTAACTGATGCAACAAAGATGAGAAGTTCGATGTTTGTGAAGGTGACTATGGATGGCACTCCGATTGGAAGGAAGATCGATCTGAATGCTCATAAATGCTACGAATCGTTGTCCAACACTCTCGAAGATATGTTTCTGAAACCCAAACCTGGTGTGTGACTCGAATCTGGTGTTCTGTGTTTTTTTTTTTTAAATTCCTTTTCTGAGATTGAAATGATGATGATTCTTTCTGTAATCAGGCTCAAGCACACGAGAAACTGATGGTCACATGGAAACACGGCTAAAGATACTACCAGATGGGTCTTCTGGATTAGTACTAACGTATCAAGACAAGGAAGGAGATTGGATGCTTGTTGGCGATGTTCCGTGGGGGTATGTATACATATATGTTCTTATGCTTTCGATGTTGAGTCCAATGTTAGCTACAAATTCTGAATCCTTAAAAACCCGAGTTTCACTTGTGTCCAGGATGTTTATTGATTCTGTGAGAAGGCTCCGGATAATGAAAACATCGGAAGCTACTGGTTCAGGTACATATACTGATTCGGTCAAATCCTGGTATCGGTATTAAAAGTCTCTTCTTTTATGTTGTTGTGTGTGACCGTGTTTGTATAATCCTTGTTTTTACAGCTCAAATGATCTTATGAAAGAAAATAGAAATCTACAAGAAAGACTTTATGCTTGAAGCAATAATAAGACGGATCAGAGATTAAAGAGAAGACAAACCCGATGTAAGAAGCTTCTTCTTTTTCTTCCTCTTCCCTACAGTTTTTGGCTCTGCCATATTTTTTTAGATAGTTATATGTTTCTCTTTGTAAATCACACTTAAAAAGCTATATAAGTATAACAAAAACCCTGTTTTGGACACAAAACGGTTCAGAGCAATGCACAAGTTAATTAAGATCTGTAAACATGGGCAAATGAAATCAAAAGGATCATATAGCTCTTCTACATACATAACATGAATCGAACAAATCAGTTTACGGCCTTCTTGTTCTCGTTCCTAAAGAAGGCCATTTACAGGTGAAGTACTAAAAACCGATGTATTGTGTTTCTCGGCCAAGCTACGGCTAGTATTCTCTTCATTACTATTGCTTTTCCTCCTCGGTTTAGCTTCTCCGAGCATCGATATCACATCTCTCATGGAAGGTCTGTCTTTAGGGAGCTTCGTGGTGCAGAGAAGAGCGATCTGCAGAACTAATAGCATCTCTTCTTGAACGTATCTGCAGTTTCCTACGTTAGGATCTAATGCTTCTTCTAGGGAAATGTTGTCTCTTATCTTGCTTCTCACCCACTCCACTATGTCTACAGATTCTCCAAACTCCGGCTCCAATGGTCTTCTTCCGGTTAAAAGCTCCAATAATACGACGCCGTAGCTGTATATGTCAATCTTCTCGTCCACCTTCAACGTGTATCCGTATTCTGCAAAGTCAATCGTTTCCGGTTTGGTACACATTAAGCAAATGATAAAACAAATTGAAAATCAACTTGATTAGAACCGAAGTAGTAATTTAAATGGTGCAATAACCGGTATGGAACTTGGAGCTTACCGGGAGCTATGTAACCGTAAGAACCGGCGACCATTGAAACGGTTTCTTTCTTTCTGGCCATCATCCTGGCGAGGCCGAAATCGGCGATTCTGGCGTCGAGATTCGCGTCGAGCAAGATATTGTTCGATTTGATGTCTCTGTGGATCACCGGAGGATGACAGTCGTGGTGGAGGTAGGCGAGGCCGTGAGCGACGCCCAGCGCGATATTGTAACGCGAGACCCAGTCAACGAGCAGCCTCCCGGCGGCGTTTTTGCCGTGAATCGCGTCGCCGAGGTTCCCGTTGAGCATGAATTCGTATACAATCATCATGTTTTTGTCGTTGTACAAGAACCCTAGGAGCCTCACGATGTTCCTGTGTCTTAATTTTCCCAGGAGGTTAACTTCGCCTACGAAGTCTCCGGTGGTTCCATCCTCGATGTCGGCGGCTGATCTCCAGAGCTTCTTCACGGCGAGCACTGTGCTCGATCTTGACATCTCCGCTTTGTACACGATTCCGGTGGCTCCCATTCCGATCATGTTCGATTCTTTGATGCATGAAAGGATATCAGAGGCTGTGAACCCTAGCCTATGAAACGCCATTAGTCTCCAAGGCCATTCACCTTTGCTTGCCGTCTCGTCGCCGCAGAATCCGTTGGAATACCATCTCTTGTACAGAGTTCTGGCAACGATGGCGAGAATCCCTAGGACTAGAACCGATGCGATCCCAATCAACCATCCGGCGACAATTCGTTTCCCGTGGAAACTCCTGTGACCCGATGTTGCCCCCTGGAACTTGCTACACGGCGGAAGAACGCCTCCGCAGAGACCGGAGTTTCCCCTCAGATCATCTGGATTTATGGTTCTGAGAAATCCGTTCATTGGGACTGGGCCTGTGAGCTTGTTGTAAGAGACGTTTAGGAGTTCCAGTGCCGGTGACGTTCCAATGCTCTCCGGGAGCTCGCCGGTTAATGAATTGTTGGAGAGATCGAGCACGGCTAATGCAGACATCGTCGTGATCTGTCTGGGGATTTCGCCGGTGAGTTGATTGTTCCTCAGGTTGAGGCTCACAAGCTTCTCGCATGAAGCAATGCTGGACGGAATCGTGCCTGTGAAACTGTTTGAAGAGAGATCAAGACTCGATAGCGAAGGACAATCCTGGAACTGGTCTGGAATTTCGCCGGAGAGAAAGTTTTCGGTCACCAAAAACGCCTGCAGATTATGGATCGAGAGGATCGTTGAAGGGATGGACGAGCGAAGCTGGTTTCTGGAGAAGTCGATGAAAGAAAGCGAAACGGAGTTCGAGATATCTCCAGGAATCCCTCCGGTGAGACGATTACCTGCTAGTTCTAGCCTCTGTAGCTTCTCAAGCTTGCCGAAGCCGATGGGAATCGAACCGTTTAGCAGATTGTTCTGCATCCTGACACGAACCAGCGACTGGCAAGTGGATAGAGTCGCCGGAATCTGCCCGGAGAAGGTGTTGTTGAACAAAATGAGCTTGGTTAGATTTCCCTTGCTGCACAGAGTGGAAGGAATTTCGCCGGAGAAGGAATTTGACGAAACGTCAAGCCATTGTAACGGGGAATTCTTCCCGAGATCGCTTGGCAACTCGCCGGAGAGCGTGTTGTTCCAGAGCTCGAGGACTTGTAACTGCGCCAGATTGCTGATCGCAGGAGGAATGGAGCCGGAGAGCCTGTTGCGCATCAGGTTCAGTAGCTCCAGGTTCTTCAGCTCCGCTATCTCCACTGGAATCTCGCCGGTTAACGCGTTATCGGAGAGATCAAGAACCTTGAGCGTGGAAATGCTACCGATCTCTGGCGGAATTTCACCGGTGAAGTTGTTCTGGTAGACGAGAAGCGTCTCGAGTGACTTGAGCTTCCCGAGCTCAGACGGAATCTGACCACTGAGCTTTCCGATGGCCAAATCGAGGTACTTGAGGCTGTTGATGTTCCCAAACTCTGGTGGGATCGGACCTTCGAATTCGTTGTACCCAAGAATGGCTGTTTCTAGTGAAAGGAGTTCACCGAGAACGCTTGGTAACTCCCCGGTGAGATTGTTTCCGGATAATCCGAGGAATCTCAGCTTCTGCAGGTTCTTGAAGGAACTTGGAAGTGACCCTTGAAAGAAATTTCCTCGGAGATCAAGAACTTCTAAAGAGACTAAGTTCCCGAGATCCTCCGTGAGATTTCCAGAGAGATTGTTTCCCGAAGCATTGAGATGAACGAGTCCAAGTGATTCGTTACCAAATAGAAAAAGATTCCCTGAGAACGAATTCTGGCTAATGTCTACAGATTTCAACGGAGGGAGCGATTTCGGAAGCAGGGATTCGAATCCGTTGCATGAGATGTTAAACGAGGCAAGGCTTCTCAGCTGTCTGATCGAATCTGAGATTTTGCCCGTGAGATTCATTCCCGACAGGTCCAGCTTCTCAACATTGCCGTGGGAGTTGCACCAAACACCGGTCCACTTACAGTGATCGCCGGCTTCTGAAAGCTTCCAATCTTTGAGAAAGTTGAGAGGATCGATAAGAGTTGATTTCACCGAGAGCAAAACAGAGAGCTCATTGCCATTGTCTATGGAAGCTGCAACAGAGGAGGTAGAACCAATGAAACAGTAAAAGAGGAAGAGAACCAAAACCTTCATCTTCAGCTTCATCGTCTTCCTCTGTCTCGTCAACTTCCACTGAAACTTGTCTCTTTAGTTCATAACCAAGAACAAGACAAGTGAACATGCAAGGAGGTGGAGGAGGAAGAAGAGTAGAATAAGAAGAAACTCGGCAATTATATCCTTGCTCTGTATATATGTTTACTTGTGTTATATAAAGAAACAGACATATATATATATTGAATCTTGGTTTTATGTGGATCTAGTGATCTTTGGGCAATGTAGGGGTTAAATGTTCTAAGAAAAAAAATAAACAAGATCTTGGAGTTATTTGAGAGTTTTCTTAAGACATTAAACATGTGAAGAGAAGAATGTGTTTTTACAATTACAGCTAATCCAAAATTGCGTTCGGTGTTTAAAAATAAATACAAAGTCAACTATGAGTTGCTGTATAGTAATCCAAGCTTAATCTTATACTCCATATATTTTATTGTTTGATATATATATACATATATATGCATAAAGAACATAACATATATACAGGCACTTGGTGTGTGCCATACTCCCATAGATAGCTTATGCTTAACTTCATTCTAATTCAGCTTTTGTAGAATGTCTTTAATTATTTTCTCTCCTTTTTCTTTTTGGGTCTTTTCATGCTTACCTTCTAAGGGAAATTTTTTTTATCGAAAATGCTGTTAAAGTGTGACATAAATTCTATCACATTAGCTTTACAATTAAATTTACGCACCAAAGTGTACATCAATACATATATAATACACGGATTAATCCATATAACTATTTTATAATGTATGTAGCCACCGAGGTGAACGTTCGAAGCATCAGAATGGGTGATATGCACATGTGATGAAGATGAATAGATGATCACATTACCTTTCTTTAATTTCAGATAGGTCCAAATAATTACATTAATAACTAATATCAGCAATAATGAATATGATCCCACGATCGATCTCACGTTTCTTCTTACCCCTTTTGAATATGGTAAAGGTTCTTTCTACAAGGTGTAGTTAATAAAAATAAGATCGAACCCACCTCATCGCCATTATATGTAAGCATATTTCTAATTTTTTAATTCAACCAAGAGTTACCATGATGCATAATATTATATTGTATGCCACTGCAGAGAGTGCAGGTTTGTTACTGTTCCTTCATTTGCATGATTGAGTAGATAAGAATCTTTCCATGTTACAGGTTTTAATAAAGATAGCAGTGTAAATATGTATGTATATAATAATATTAATTGGTAATCAGTGTATTAGAAATCAAACAAACAATAGATGGATCAGTCCTTAACTTAACTTACAGAACTGTGATTATTGTTTATTTTCTTGACCCCATATCCCAAATATATGAATCTACGAATTGTGCCCCTAATCAAAATGCTAATTTTATTAACTTTCTATACGTAATGTCTTAAAGTACGTATCGACACATACACCAAAGCCGATGGCAAAGCCTTTAAGGTAAAGAAAATAAAAGTAAAAAATGAACACGAGGTAGTATGTCAAAAGAGAGAGTATTATACAACTCTTTACATAGAGTAAAGAGCCCAATTAGATTTTAGCAGCCAAAATGTTTTTTGTTTATTAGTTTCAAACTTTTGATATCATGCAACAACAACAAAAAAATAATCAAATAATCTAAATAATATCGTAATTCAACAGTTCAAAATATTAAACCAAAAACGACATTGTACTTATCAAAAGAAACTCAGATTGATATAAGGATAAGATAAATTAAATACGAAATGATTTGTTGAAAATGGCAGAGAAATGCACACGCATATTCATCAAATCAATTATTGTAATACTTCAACAGTTTACCCACTCCTCTTACTGATTTCATGTTTCCATCCTTCATTTTACAATAGACAGAAAACGTTGCTTCACATGCACTCATGTGGCCGGTCTTTTATATGTTTTTTTCCTTTCTTAATATATTTGTAGTATAAGAAAACATTCTGATCCGTAGTTAAATTCTTAATTTGCTTATCCTTTCGATCGTTGGATTAATAACTTAATTTCTACGATTATTCAACAATTGAGTATATAGGGATAACACTTTCAGTTTTTTTTTTTTTTGTATTTATCCCGAAATACGACTTGGGGAAATAGTAAGAAAAATGGTCTACACAACAAATACTAATTCTAATAATCAACTATAACCCAAAAAATAAAATAAAAATTGGATGGCTATAGTTATATGAGATAGATGGGTACTACTTTACAAAGGTACAAAGAGGTTCACCGTTCACGGCTTAATGGGATGCATGTGGATCACCACCTTAATCACTTGCTTTAATACAAGTTTTTTGTATTATTAGAGAGAAACCTAATCCCACAAAGTGTATAAACTCGTTGCAAATGGTGTTTAGTATGGTTTTAAATACCGTATTCAACATTTTTAATATAATATTTATACTGACGGTTCGTCACATGGACATGGGATTCGTTATGGCATAATAACAGACTTGTGACGAGTCCAGCTTTTTTCTACGATCTGCACGCATGTGCCACGTGTGTTCCATGAGATCTCACTCTAGCCGAAAAGTCTGAGTCATTGTAAAATGTAAAACCTTCTGAGACGGAAAGAGTTCTCTCACCAAAAACCGAAATGGGCTTGTTATTACGTGACACGACCGGAAAACAAAGTCGATTGATATTGGGCCTTAAGATAAAAAAGCCCATTATTGAGACGATGACGGCATCCAAAGAAGGAACGGCTTTGGTTGTGACACGTCACGATTCTCCCGCCACCACACCAGAGCCTTGGCTTCATCTCCTTCCTCCTCTAGTCTTCTTCTGTGTCCCCAACAATCTCCTCGCGCACTCAGACAACAACGAAATGGCTTGTTTTCGTTCGACAGGGTCTTTAGCTTCTCTCGCTCATTCTCCTCGAGATGTCTCACACTCAGGTACTGTCTCGTCTCTTCCGTTCTCCGTCCTCTAAAATTGAATCCTTTCGCAAAAATCCATAGTTTTGCCTTTTGAGTCTTGGAATTGGCAATCGAATCTTCTTGCTGCATGTTGGTTGATTATTGTTTCCCCTGGGAAAATTTCGTGTGGTTTTGGCTAGAATGCTGATTCGGAAACCGAATCTGGGTGAAATCGAGTTTCTTGGCGAGCTCATGATTTCTCCGAGACAAATCAAAAATTTTCAGTTGTTTTCCTTCAGTTACTACTTGGTAATTATAGGATATCGCAGAAAATGTGAAATCGGTACCATTTGATAAACACAAAGTGTGTGTAATTTTAAAAACGACGATATGATCCGTTTATTTTTGCAGGCATTGTCATATCTTCATGCTCTGTTCTTCCCATCACGCGGTCCTCTTTCACTGGCTCTACCGTTTCCTTCCAACGGGCTCAACCACTTTCACGAACAGCTCTAAAACCGAGGAACCTCGTCTCGATCACGATGATGGTGAAGCCGACGCTACAATTCATCCAAGGGACGGATGAGATGACGATCCCCGACGTCAAGCTGACTCGTTCTAGGGACGGAAGCAACGGGATGGCACTCTTCTCTTTCGACCAGCCGTCGGTTTTCGACTCGAGCGGCGAGGTCGGGGAGATAACGGGGCTGTACATGATCGACGAGGAAGGCGTGATCCAGTCGACGGACGTGAACGCGAGGTTCGTGAACGGGAAACCGGAAGGGATCGTGGCCAAGCACGTGATGCGGACTCCCAAAGAATGGGACAGGTTCATGAGGTTTATGGAGCGTTACTCTGACCAGAACGGCTTGCAGTTCGTTAAGAAGCAATGAGGTGTCACTTAATTTTCTATGAGCATATAAAAAATGTATTGTTTACATTTATTTCTAACTCTTTTGGTTTATAATCTTTTTACTCTCATAGTTTTGATCTTCACTTGAGTTTCAATTCTTCAATGATTCACGTTCGATCTTTTCTGATTAAGTTTGAGTTTAATTTAGAGAAATTCATGATGTAACGAAGGTATGAACAAAATTCCACTTGTGAAATTGCTTGTGCTCTCATACAGAACCGTGTTCTCGTTTGAATTAGGAGATTTTCCTGATCAAACCAAAGCCATATAGAGTTAACCGGAATGTTTTAACCGGGGACGGGGAAATATATATATATATATATATATATATTCCTATATTTAGCAAAAGAGCTGTTACAGAGAGTTTATTATGGAGGAGGAGACGCATCAAAGCAGCGTCGTTCCTCTGATCATGAATCAAAAATGGCGTCGACGTTAATCGCTTCCTTGGCCGTTCTCTTGCCGTTAACGTCACTAACTCCGTCGATCTCCACGAAAGTCTCTCGAATCGACGTCCTCGGCTGGACTTGCAGCAACGGCACCGTCTCCGACGTCGAGGCTTACCAGAGATCTTACCAGGTCAATCTCGACAATATCAGAGACGATATGAGGAAGGTCAAGTTTGGGATCCACGAACACGGAGATCCTCCGCAGAAGATGTACGTTTTGTCGCAGTGCGTCAACGATCTCTCGCCCGACGAATGCAGTCTCTGCTGGTCACGCGCCACCGATCTCCTCTCTCAATGTTTTCCGGCCACCGGTGGTCGGTTTTACCTCGACGGTTGTTTCGTCAGGGCTGATAATTACAGCTTCTACCGCGAGCCTATTACGTATCAAGACGCCAAGGTCTTCTTCTTCTCTTCTCCTTTGAATTTTCTCCGTAAATTGAATGGTTAGGTTTTGAATTCAGAACGTAGAGCTACGATTTAGTGTGGATTTACGCTTAATAGATCCAAATTTCGAGTAGATTAAAAACCCTAATGTATCGACCATTTTGGGGGAATTTAGATATGTTCTAGTGACAAGGAGGGGTCTGCAGAATTCAAAGGCTTGGTGAAGGAAGTGACCAAATCCATCGTAGAGACGGCTCCTTATGACCAAGGTTTCTCGGTGGTTCGAAGGGGCGTCCACGGTTTAACGGTTTACGGTTTAGGAATTTGCTGGCGAACGCTAGACGAGGAGCTCTGCAAACTGTGCTTAGCAGATGGAGCTTTATCGGTCACGAGCTGCTCACATTCCAAAGAAGGCTTTGCCTTGAACGCAGGCTGCTACTTGCGTTACTCTAACTACACTTTCTATAACGAGCGTGGGTTGCTTACTATGAGTATGTCTTCTCTGTCACACTATCTCTTGTGGTTCTTCCTTTCAAATTGTGATACATTATGTATTTGAAATGTATGTTTTTTTGTTTTTTTGGGTGTAGGTTTAACGAAAGAGTACATTGTGCATATACTGGTGATTTCTGTGGTGTGTGTCTTGGCTGTTGCAGCTGGGTTTTGGTGTGGGAAATGCATCTATTTGCGAGATGGTCCAAAGAAGAAGCTTAAAGGTAAATTTCCAAAGACTTATATATGTGTGGTTAAGCGCGGTTAGCTCATAGGAGCTAAGACTAAAAAGTTTTCACTTTGTTTGGACATCTAAGGATAGAGAAGGAGTCAAAGTCTGTATGTAATGGCTCAAACTTGATGAGCTTTAAGTATTCAACTCTTAAAAAAGCAACCAACAACTTCAACGAGAGTTGCAAGCTTGGTGTTGGAGGATATGGTGAAGTTTTCAAGGTTTTCTCTCTTCTCTCTCTAAATAGAATAAAGTCATATTTCTCTGCATTTGACTAAAAAGCCCTGATTATCTTTTTGACAGGGAACTCTCTCTGACGGTAGAGAAATCGCTATAAAACGGCTTCATAGAACAGGAAAGAAGCCTCGGGAAGAGATACATAATGAGATCGATGTGATTAGCAGATGCCAACACAAGAATCTGGTCCGGCTCATAGGTTGCTGCTATACTAACATGAATAGTTTCATTATCTATGAGTTCCTCGCTAATACAAGCCTCGATCACGTCTTATTTAGTAAGATCTCCTCATCCAAATCGCTCATGTTTTAAACAAAACGGCCTCTCTGCAAAATTTCTAAACTTTTTTTTCCGACTTGACATGGAAGTGAAGACCCAGAGAAGAAGAAAGAGCTCGACTGGAAGAAGAGGCGGACGATAATCTTAGGAACAGCAGAAGGTTTGGAGTATCTTCACGAAGTTTGCAAGATCATTCATAGAGATATCAAAGCAAGCAACATTCTGTTAGACTTAAAGTACAAACCCAAAATCTCAGATTTTGGGTTGGCCAAGTTTTATCCAGAAGGTGGCCGAGACATCTCTTCTTCCTCTCCTTCTCATTCTTCCATTGCCGGCACGCTGTAAGTCCTTTCAACACAGACAAGTACAGGTCCTATTAGTCTGATTTAGGATTTGTAAAGGTTTTGTTTTTTTCGCAGAGGATACATAGCTCCTGAGTACATTAGGAAAGGAAGACTAAGTAATAAACTAGACGCATATAGCTTCGGAGTCCTTGTTCTCGAAATAACCAGCGGTTTTCGAAACAATAAATTCCGATCTGATAACTCCCTTGAAACCTTAGTTACTCAAGTGAGTCCTCTATATCTTCACATCAGTTCTAATTAGCTCCTTCATAATCCATTTTTCTAAAACCTCCTTTGTTGAACAGGTTTGGAAATGTTATGCTTCAGACAAGATGGAGGAGATGATAGACAAAGATATGGAAGAAGAGACAGATAAGACAGAAGTGAAGAGAGTGATGCAGATCGGTTTGTTGTGCACACAAGAGTCTCCGCAGCTTCGTCCAACGATGTCTAGGGTAATACAAATGGTCAATTCAACAGATCTTGTATTGCCTACTCCGACTAAACCACCTTTCCTTGATGATTATTCCATGTAAAAATCATATACTTTGTATAAAGTCCTCTTTTTTCTTACCGTTAGTAACACATTACAAAAGAAATACAACAAATATTTTGTGTTTGAAGCCTTTTTATTCTCCTCTTCATGGTTGTTTAAGTCTCGATCACAAATAGCTATTTGCATGTTGGATTCAGTTTCAGTTTCCACTGTCGTTTAATTTGGATCGCAATCTTCATCAAACGTATTGAGCTTTGGATGGCTTTATGAAAACTGCAAACTAATAAAAACATCTAAAAGGAGTAATATTTTACAAAACGATGATAAACCGGAAGACCGTACGTGAAAACAAATGTAATGGACCAATTACATGCCACATGATAAACCAGAATTGAAGGCAGAGAGAGGGAGTAATTGGTTAGTAGTTAGTTTTCTATTTAATTCATTAAATGACAAACCACAAAGAATGGTAACTGTCTCTGCTGACCAAATTTCATAATTGTCTCAAATCTAATTTGGGGAAAAAACAAATAAAAACGTGGTTAGGAGTTAGGACTTTAGGAGGACACTTGACGCCTGTGACGTGTCTAACAAGTACAGCCATATGCTTGGACGCAATTATTGGCCCAGTGGGTCCGACCATTTGAGGCCACTCATCGGCTAAATCTGAAGATCGGAGTCGGAGCCATACGTTCACGTGGTCAAGTTAGCATTTCATAAAAAGAGCACTGATCAGGTGGTACCCACAAGGGTATTTTCTGTTAAAAGAAAGTTAAACGTGGTTACTGAATTTGGTTTGTAGTTTGTACTTCGAAAATTCGGATTTCCTAATAGTTTAGTGGAGCTAAGCAATCAGTATCACTTATACTGTGTTTAACCAAATATGTATAACTAATAATTATAATTACCGTTCAATTCCCTTTACGTCAATACATGCCATGTGTTGCTTCTACTATGATTCAAACCACATAGTATTATTGTGACTCATGAGTCGTCATGATGACAAAATAATTCGTATTTCACTGTCACTCTCTGACTTTAATTTATATACTGATTAATTATTGAAAAAGAAAGAAGAATAAAATCTCTATAAATAAAAATATCTATATATATAAACCCTGAAAGCTGAGACCATTTAGCCATGCGATTTACAAAGCAGCCTCGATAATAACATACTACCCATTCAAATTCTTACAACATTTGCCGATACCATTCGAGATGTAGCATTATCTCCTTTAGTCTTTTATTTGCCTTTTTTTTTTTATAGAACACGACAATATTTACAATGATATATATCATATTTCATTTATAGTTTGATGTGTAATATATATGATATTTTATTAAGAAAATATACTTAGCAACGTATCATATGCATATGACAGGGAAGACGGCAACGGCATCGGAAACGGGCTTGGCAACGGCCATGGCATAGGGAACGGACTTGGCAACAGCATCGGCAACGGCCATGTCAACGGCAAAGTTAACGGAGCGAATGTGAAAACGATGAAACCAATGGAAAGTGAGGTGCTGAGGGAGCAAGGTCACATAATGATTGATTTTATTGCTGATTATTACAAAAACCTTGACGACTTCCCTCAGGATTTCCCTGTTCTTTCCCAAGTTCAGGTTCCTTCTCATCTCTCTCTTCTGTTTATAATTAAAAATGACCTATACATTTATATATCAATTATAGTACGTATTTTCCAGTACATTTTATTTTTACCACAATCATTAATTGTTTGTAATTAATTTGTACGTACTCGTTATATATTATAACAGCAATACAAATTTTAGTAATATCTATTACTGAGTATTTTTTTTACTATTGGTATATATGCATAAATTGTTATTTTGGATGTTAAAATAATTATATATTTTTTATAAATAAGTATATACTTGGTTGGTGATTTGACGCATGCAGCCTGGTTATCTCCGTGACATGTTGCCTGATTCAGCACCCGACCACCCTGAATCTTTGAAAGAACTTCTCGACGGTACATAAATCAGTTTTTTTTTTTTTTTTAAACGCAACATGCACATGCACGTATACGAAGTAGTTTTTTTTTTTTTTTTTAATTTTATGTAAGGTACAGAGTAATGTTGATAAATTGAAGATATATATGTTACTCTTTTTTATAATTTATAGACGTTTCAAAGAAGATCATTCCGGGGATAACTCATTGGCAAAGCCCGAGTTACTTTGCCTACTATGCGTCGAGCACGAGTGTGGCCGGATTCTTGGGAGAGATGCTCAACGCCGGCCTGAGCGTCGTCGGTTTCACCTGGGTCACTTCTCCGGCCGCCACTGAACTCGAAGTTATCGTTCTTGATTGGCTTGCCAAGTTGCTCCAACTCCCCAACCATTTTCTCTCCACAGGTTCTTGATTTTTTAACCCCTCTATTCTTTCTATTTCGTTTTTATACGTTTTAATGCCAACATTACTTTATACTTTAATTGGCGGCGACATCATTTAAAATTGAAAGAGTCCACTATATCTCATATGTCGGTAAGCTTAATGGACGTAAGGAGGGAATATTAAACTTAATTAATTTGATTTACTATTTTGCGTGAAACAGAGAAAAGATAGATTAGAAGAAAGTAGAAACTACTCGTTAGTGATTCGAGCATGCAACTGTGACCATATACATAATTAGTATCAATATTTGTAACAACAGATCATATAAGTCAGAGATTAAACAGAGATAAATAGAGAACAAGAGAACAGTAATTCAATTAATTGAATGATTTAATGAAAATGAATACAAAAAAGGGAACGGAGGAGGAGTGATCCAAGGGACAGGATGTGAAGCAGTGCTTGTGGTAGTATTAGCTGCTAGAGACAGAATTTTGAAGAAAGTCGGCAAAATATCACTCCATCGACTTGTTGTCTATGCATCCGACCAAACCCATTCCAGTTTCCGAAAAGCTTGTCTGGTCCGTATATTTGTCTTTTTTTTAAAAAAAATCATCAGTTAACTGGCTAATTAATTATGTATCTATGATGATATTAGTTTATTTTGTATAGATTGTTGGAATACATGAAGAAAACATTAGGCTGCTGAAAACAGATTCTTCCACGAACTATGGAATGCCTCCAGAATCACTTGAACATGCTATTTCTAGTGATCTCGCTAAGGGTTTTATACCTTTCTTCATTTGTACTACTGTAAAAACTTTACCCACTTAAAAAAATTACATATATAGAACTAATTAACTAAGAATTATTATTTTTTAAAGGATAATATATATATAAGTTTTCTAATGTACCTCTTTTGTAATTATTTCGTCCAATTCTAAATATATAAGTGTGGTGTACGTTTTCAGGTTGGCACAACTTCTTCAGCTGCAGTTGATCCTTTGGTCCCTTTGGGGAAAATTGCAAAGGTAAATAAATAAACATATACTATACTCTTAGTCAATTTTTGAACTGCAAAAACCATGTTTTGAAACCCACTTCATTTACCGCAACCATCCCCACTGCTTCAACTACTGCAATTATTAGAGACTCATGAGTCAATTTGAATTTAATTCGTTTAAATAAATTCTGATGTTATGTAGAGCTACGGGATATGGATGCACGTGGATGCAGCTTATGCAGGGAACGCATGTATATGCCCAGAATATCGCAAATATATTGACGGAATTGAAAATGCAGACTCCTTTAACATCAATGCTCATAAATGGTTATTCGCTAATCAAACTTGTTCACCCCTTTGGGTTAAGGTATGTTTTTTTATCTCTATTTTTTTCTTTTCTCAACTTATATACTCCACTTAACAAGTTTATTATAATTAGAAGTTTATTATAATTAGCTATTCTAATTTTTCAGTTTGTAATTAAATAGGACCGGTTCTCTCTCATTGATGCCCTCAAGACAAATCCTGAATATTTGGAATACAAGGTAAAAGTCTCTGATGTAATATATGAAGTAATAGTTATTAAAATTAATAAGATGATAGTAGTAAGAGTTTATTCAGTGAATGGCAACAAATAATGAGATTTCTATGTCTTGGAACGGAATTATATATATGACTTAATGGATATATCAGGTTTCTAAGCGAGATGAGGTCATAAACTATAAAGATTGGCAAATATCTCTCTCTCGGAGATTCAGGTTTTCGGCAAACTTACAATATCGATGTTATATTTGTTGCCCTAGCTATAAATCTAATAAACAAAAAATTTATGTGGTTTTCACAAATTTGATTTACGCAGATCATTAAAGTTGTGGATGGTGTTACGGCTCTATGGTACCGAGAACTTGAGAAACTTTATTAGAGACCATGTCAATCTCGCTAAGCATTTCGAAGATTATGTAGCTCAAGATCCACATTTCGAGGTAATAAATACATTTGAAAACAAAAATTCTAGAATATTTAGTACTATTATTGAACGTCATATCTATGATAATCCGTGACAAGACTAAAACCATATGTCTAAATTTATAGGTTGCAACTACTCGGTACTTTTCACTCGTTTGCTTTCGCCTTGCTCCTGTTGACGGCGATGAAGACAAGTGTAACGAACGGAACCGTGAACTGCTTGCCGCCGTTAACTCCACCGGCAAGATCTTCATTTCTCACACGGTGAGTTTTTAAACAGATACCAGACTTTGTTTTGTAAATGAAAGTTGAAATTTTACTAAATATTGTCAACAGGCTCTCTCGGGAAGATTCATTTTACGATTTGCCGTCGGTGCACCGTTAACGGAGGAGAAGCACGTGACTGAAGCATGGCATATTATACAGAAGCATGCATCCAAATTGATCCGCAACGGCAATTATTGAGAATATTATAAAAATAACCCATCTATCTTTTGATTTCGCTCAATAAAGTCCCACTCTGTCTTCAACATTTTCCTACGAATAGCCATTTTTATAAAAATAAAAATAAAAATAAATAAAAAACATTTCCTACGAATGAGCTATGATTGCTTTTGTTTATGATATTATTTGTCTATGTAACAGATTATGCGAAAATAAAGCTTTCGTATTGTATAACTTGCCAAAGATTTATATAGGAAAAACCGGGTTATCTTTGCTACAATAATTTGCTAAAACCGAAACTAATTAAAAATTATCTTTGCTACAATAATTTGAATTCAAAAATATATACATAAATGCTAATTAGGACATTCGGGACATTTGAAAAAATATAAAGATTTATATAGGAAAAACCGGGTTGCTACATAATTTAGATTTAGTCGATTTTTTCGAAAACTAATATTAAGAGGATTAACTCAAGAACTTACCAATTTTTATTCCATTTTAGAAATATCATTCATGCCGTTACATACGGATGCAATTAAAATATACTTAACATAGGAATATAGGATGCATCCGCCGTATTGGGATCGGATATAGGATTAGTTTATTGGACCTGGGCCTGGCCTAATAAATAAATAAATAAATAAAGTAGTTGACATATATATTTCTCCTCCTTGACACACATTTTTTTGTTGCTTTCTTCTCCGACTCCAAACCCTAATTCGTTTTTCTATATGTGCGCCTGATGATTATCCGTGAAGCAAAATTTCCGGGCAAATCTGAGGTAGAAGGAAACGAATCACCCTAAATCTTTCATTTGACTTACTGAATTCTCTCTTCTCCTTCGAATTTCGATTGGATTTACCGTTAATCTGGAAAACAAAAAATTTGTTCGAAATGCCGATGACCTCGATGAATCACATAATTTATCTTAGTTCAGACGAGGAGGATGCTAAAGTAGTCGACTGCACTGCTTGGTTAGACGGAGTTCTGGAAACCTCCGACGAGAAACCCAAGGGCACTGGGCATCGGAAATCAAATTCGTCGAACCCAGATGAAGACGGCGACGACGATTGCGTGGTTCTAGACGGTGATCCTTACAAGACGACGGAAAATGAGTCTGCATTTGACACGTGTGAAGCCGATGATGAAATCCTTGTAGTAGGGCAAAAGGGTGAGGTAAAAGATTTCCACTTGATCTTGCTCATCTCTCTTTTGACAATTCTTCTCTGTCGTTACAAATTTACTCTGCTTTGAAAATGTATCTCCTAATTTGGAATTGATTCATAATCAAATGTGATAGTGTCACGAGTAGAAGAACTTTAACTTGGGGAACTGTTGTAGAGAAAATTGAGTTTTTTCGCTATAAAGTTTGATATATGCAGCAACTCTGAGAGTGGAGATTTCTTGAAAGTGTATAGTGTGGTTTTGCTCTGTTTCAAGGAAGTAACTCGTTTTATAGATTGCTTGTAGAGACTTTCCTCATCCGCGACATGCCTGCGCTAAGTACCCGTTCAACTCCATATCACACGAGAAGTACTGTGACATGGTGAGAATGTCAAGTTTGTTGTTTTATCTTTTGACAAATCTTAACCTGATGATAGTTTCCTTGCTAATTGATTTCCTCTGTTAAATTCTCCCTTTTTTTTATCTACAGTGTCACTGTTATGTTTGTGACATCCGTGCTCCGTGTCCTTTCTGGAGCTACGGTAACTCCAGCCTTGCTCACTGTCATGCCAATGATAAAGAACAGATATGGAAGAACCATCGTGAATGCGTCAGGACCGGAGAGATCCATCCACGGCCTGCTTCGAACGTAGGCCAAATGCAACAGATTTCACAGTCTCAGTCTATACGATCGTCTCAAAACACTCTGTATTCCCCTGCAACCCAGTTTGGTTTCCGGGCTTGCTCGGCATCTACTACGGTTGCGACTCGGCCACACACATACACCGGAACCGAGCAATCAACAGCCTTTCCGCAGAACCCCTGGTTACCGTCTCTTCCTGGCCAGTTATCTCAGAGTCACAGAGGCGGCTCTTACAATGGTTACGCAAGTCCCCAAGTGGTCTCCTCCAACTCATTCACATGGACTCAGAGACCAAGCAGAGGCGCTAATCTTCCCGGAAATGGTGTACATAACGTCGCACCAGTCTCACAATATACCGGTTACGCTCCTCCTGCTGCTTCTTTACAACAAGTCAATTCACGGCGGAACGTTACTGGTCATATCTCAACCGTGCCAGAATCTGAGAGCAAAGTCTACGGTAGACATTTAAACCGGAATATGTATACTGGTATCTCGCAGACAAGTGCAGTTCCGTCTGAGAATCTTAATCCTCCGGCGAATCAGCTACAACCAGGAAAAAGTAACGCGAAAGTACTGTCGGAGATTGAAGACTGGCTCATGGACAGTTCGACCTCGACCGATCCGGTTTGTCCCTTGACTGGTCAAGCCAATTCTTCGTCACTGCGATTCGATTTCGAAAGCTTCTTTCAATGATTGGAACATTTAGGATAGTCTTTTGATTTTTCTGACTTAATTGTAGAATTAGGCTCTGTACAGAGTAGTATCAGCCAAGAGCTTTTGGTTAGGACGTTAAGTCTGCAGAAACATTTCGATATCAGTCTCTTTTTTTTTTACTCTGATTTAGATTAATCATTTCTAAAAATTCGTTTCATGATACAAAGTATTGTTCTGATTTGTAAAATCTTATAATGATGTAATATATTGTGTCAATTGGCTAAATAGCCTAATTTTGACCGTTTTCAGATAGTGTGCAATGACCTAACTATCCTCTTGTGATGGGCAGTTGATACCCTGCGGAAGGGAGAGAGAGAGAACGGTGCGAAGGAGAGAGAAAGAGAGTTCCGGCACGAGGAAGAGAGTGTTTTGGCGAGAAAGAGATGGAGAGAGACGGCGAGAGGGAGCTAGATTTTCGGCGGCGGAGAGCCGGAGAAAGGGAGACATATCTTCGGCGACGAAGATCCGGCGAGAGGAGGAGAGAGGACCGATCGTCGGAGAGAGATAGAGATCGGCCACGGAGAAACCTTGCCGAGAGAGAGTAGAGAGAGAGTGGAGAGGGCTATATCGTAATTACTATAGGTTCTACACTTCAGTATAACTTTTGATGCAAATACTGAAATCGTTAGGGTCATTTAGTATAGTTAATACATTTGTGATTCTTTTACGAGGCAGTGATAAATTAGCTGGTTATTGTCCAAGTATACTAACAAAGGTAAAAATAGATTCCTGTCATTTCTTTTTTCTACTATATATACTCAGATAAAGTATCTTTTATTTCTCATTTTCCCTAATAATTTTAACTTTTCTGTAAAATAATTTTATATTTGATTCTATTTCTAATAACTTTCCCATCTACCAAAAAGAAAGTGAATGAACAAAAATATCTGGTCGAAATATTAGAAATACAAAATATCTTCAATCTGCGGCTACAAAATATTTTTGGGAGTTTTAGAAATTATTTACATTGAAAAAAGGACGGTAGTTGATTGGTAGCAAATATTTTGGCAAAGTACTTGTGGGAAGAAAAGTCAAAAGTAGCAATAATAGTGGAAAAATCCGTTACAGAATCCTAAATTTACAATAAATTTGCAGATTTTTATTATAATTTGTTTTTTTTTATGTAAGATAGAATCTGAAAGATTCAATCCTCCTATAAGATTCAACTTTCCCTCAACAGAATCTCGCGAATCTCTCTACATTCTCCTTTTATAAACACTAATATCTCTTCATCTTCTTCATTTTGAATTTTTCAAATCCTCTCTCTCTCTCTCTCTCTCTCTCTCTCTCTCTCTCTCGCGCGCGCGCGCGCGCGCTATTGCAGCAATGGCGTCGGCTCTCTCTTGCTCTGCCTCTGATCTCATTCCCTTACTATCAGGCGGAGCCAACGCCACTGCCGCAGCAGCCGCCGCGGAATTCATCTGCGGGCGATTCGAAACAGTCTCCGGGAAATTCACCGACGCGGCTTACGCAATCGACAACACCTACCTCCTCTTCTCCGCTTACCTCGTCTTCTCGATGCAGCTCGGGTTCGCCATGCTCTGCGCCGGATCCGTCCGCGCCAAAAACACAATGAACATAATGCTCACCAATGTCATCGACGCCGCTGCCGGAGGCCTCTTCTATTACCTCTTCGGCTTCGCCTTCGCCTACGGATCGCCTTCCAACGGCTTCATCGGAAGACATTTCTTTGGATTGCACGATTTCCCTAAACCTTCCTTCGACTATCCTTATTTCCTCTATCAATGGACTTTCGCCATCGCCGCCGCCGGAATCACAAGCGGATCCATCGCGGAGAGGACTCAATTCGTCGCTTACCTGATCTATTCCTCTTTCCTCACCGGACTCGTTTACCCAATCGTGTCCCATTGGTTCTGGTCTTCCGATGGCTGGGCTTCTCCCGCTAGATCTGATAACCTTCTGTTTCAGTCAGGTGTCATCGATTTCGCCGGATCCGGCGTCGTTCACATGGTCGGAGGAATCGCCGGTCTATGGGGTGCGTTAATCGAAGGACCACGAATCGGCCGGTTCGCACCCGGAGGTAAAGCGGCTACACTGCGTGGGCACAGTGCAACGTTGGTCGTACTCGGTACGTTTCTCCTCTGGTTCGGATGGTACGGATTCAACCCCGGATCGTTCGCAACCATTTTCAAATCGTACGGATCAGCTCCGGGAGACTCATTCTACGGGCAATGGAGCGCCGTCGGAAGAACCGCCGTTACAACGACGTTAGCTGGTTGCACGGCGGCGCTAACGACTCTGTTCGGGAAAAGACTCATGGATGGGTATTGGAACGTAACCGACGTCTGTAACGGTTTGCTCGGCGGGTTCGCGGCTATAACCGGCGGCTGCGCGGTTGTTGAACCGTGGGCCGCGGTTATCTGCGGGTTCGTAGCGGCGTGGGTGCTGATGGGATTCAACAAGCTAGCGGATAAGCTCAGATTCGACGACCCGTTAGAAGCGGCTCAGCTTCACGGAGGTTGCGGCGCGTGGGGGATCATTTTCACCGGGTTGTTCGCTGATAAAACGTACGTATCCGAGATCTACGGAGGCGATCCGAAGAGACCGTACGGGCTATTGATGGGAGGAGGAGGTAGGTTGCTTGCGGCGCACGTAGTACAGATTCTGGTGATTACGGGATGGGTTAGTGTGACGATGGGGACTCTGTTCTTTGTGTTGCATAAGCTGAAACTTCTGAGGATACCTTCGGAGGATGAGATCGCCGGGATGGATCCGACGAGTCATGGTGGGTTGGCTTATAGGTACACAGAAGATGAGATCAAGAATGGGATTATATCTAGGGGGATTGATCTTGATAATGATCAAGAACGTGTAGGTCGTGTTTGAATTTTTTTTAAAAAAATTTCGATATATTATCTTCTTTTGATCTCTGTATATATATTATTGTGTTAATTGCTCTTTATGCATGGGAAATTGGGAATAAATAGTTTGGCTGTCTTCTTTAGTATTTTGCTCTCTCGTAACTGTATTATCCTTTCACACCAGTTAGTTGCGGTAAACTGGTAAAGTTCTTAATTATTTTGAAATTTATGCAAAAAACACAAAAACAATATGGAATTTTCTTCTCTTTTAAAGAAACATATTTTAATTGAAAAAAGTGAAAATTATTTACCTATGATTTTCATTAATATCTTCGGCCGCATACTCAGATTTCGCACTTAGATCAATATTTATGGACAATTTTGTTTTTTGAAATAGTGAGAAATTTGAATATGTGAGAAATGAAAACCATAAGTAAATAATTTAGACTAACCAAATGTTATTTAACTAAATAAATGGGCTAGTAGCCTAGTTCTAAAACTAGGGGCCTCTAAAATAACAAAATTGGGGCCCAAGCCCAGGACCGATTCTAGTTAACCCACATTTTATAGTTTGCCAATAAAGTTCTGTTGGTAACTTCGTTCTGCGATGATATGTTATAACTTATCAATTATAAGAACTAATGTATTGAAAACGATCATTAACTTTCTTATAATTATCGTTTCTAGTCTTTATCGCTTTGTGTTACTGATCGCAGTATACTTAAAAGTTTGGTTCTTTCATATACAAATTAAAAATGGTATTAACTATTACGAGATCAGCCTAGCTGTTACAAAAATCAGTTTTGTTTGTATGTATTTAACACAATATATATATAGTAGTTTTTAAGTAATAATTCAAACGTATGAGAGTGCTGGAATTTTTTATATTGTCAAAATTATACTATGACACGTCCGGAATGAGACACAAGTACAAAGGACATGATTCATCAACCCATGCACAAAAAGACTGACAATCAAAAAGCAAATTTAGAAACAAACACTCACCCACACGGGAGTTGGAAATTAAAGGGTTACAGAAAATGGCCAAAAATATTAATAATACAAACGAAGTTTAAAATTGATGGAAAGAAACCCCTGCACTACTGCCACTTTCACATATCCACTCTAATCAATTGGCAACTAATGTATTGACTTTTGCGTATAATAATGTGTTTCAATTTTAGTATTTTACAGAAAACGTTTTTGTATTCTAATCATCAAAAGATAATTTAACAGTAATGAAACTGCAAATTTATTTTGTGACAAAATATGATACATTGGGGGCCTGATTGCAAAGATATGTAAAGTAGGAGACAAAAATCAAAAGTGGCTACAAAATGAATTTGAGTATTTCGGTCGGTATCTTCGAGAACCATTGATTCCCCTTATCTAGCCAGATACTGTACTATCCCCAACCATTCAGGTTTCGCCACGAGATGGTCAAACTGGGTTCTCAGTCAAACCTTTGACCAGTGAAACCAAAATACACATGCATATCACTAAAAATATGATAAAAATATGTGACACAAGTTTATTATATATATTACCATATCTATAAAGGTTAGATGCTCTTTTTGTTGACAAACAAAATACCTATTTTCCTTTATAGTTTTTGATGAGACTGTAATTGCATTTTAAAATAATTTTATTTCATGTTGTAGCAATCAATTTTCATTGTTTATTTATTTTATCATGGCAAAACTTCTATTGTAATTTTAGATATCTGGATATTTCCACAAGAGGTGTAATAAAACATATGAAAGAATTATATAATGTGTAAGTCTATACAACTTATCCTCTAGCTAGTATCATCATCCATTTTGTTGGAGTATTGTTTTCTAGTCAGTAGAGATATTTTCTCTTTCTAAATTCATCCTTCTCTTGACTGAATAAATACGTCAAAAGAAAGCATTAACAACTACACACTCTCATACTTATCTCATCTTATGTTTTTCTCATTTCTCTTCTCTCTATTTTTTGGTATTCTGAAACTAAAATATCTGATTAAAATAAATAGGAGATAAGTAGTAAATGGCAGATCAAAATCCAAGAATCATCGTCGAGAAAAACCCATCTCAAGCTCGTCTTGACGAACTAAAGATCAAGTCATGGCCCAAGTAAGATCGATTCTCCTTCTTTAAATTTTCCTAGTTCTTCTTTTCTCTGATGGAATGAGACTGAAATCGACTTTATAGGTAAAAGTTGCATGACTTAAGATTTCGTAACTTATGGAATCAAATTGAAATCTGTTTTCTTAATTTGTTGTTGGGGAATGAAGGTGGGGATGTTCACCAGGGAAGTACCATTTGAAATATGAAGCAGAAGAGATATGTTACATTGTGAAGGGTAAAGTTAAGGTTTACCCTAAACCATCATCATCATCATCGTCATCATCATCTTCGGATGCAGAAGTAGAGTGGTGTGTAGAGTTTGGGGCAGGTGATATTGTCACTTTTCCAAAGGGACTTTCTTGTACTTGGGATGTATCTCTCTCTGTTGATAAACATTACATTTTCCTCCACCATTCTTCTTAATTAGTTTTTCCCCCCTTTTTTAATTCTTTATTTCTGTATTTCTATCAAACGTACTAATATTGTTGTATTTTGTGTTCTTTCGTCTTTTGTTTTTCTAATAAGAAAATAGAGTTTTGTGTGCATTACAATCACCTAATTAAACAATTATTTCGCAAATGAATCTTTAGTAAACCCCATGTATAAATTCGAATAATCCTGAGAAAGATTAATGTCAATTTTCTTACTCATTCTATAAAAGGGATCGGGCAATTAAAACTTTGGTTTGAAAGTATAAATTTGTATAGTTATATTTTGGGGTTACAACTTTCTAATTTTTTTTCACGAGTATGAGATTTTGAGTTATTCAAACGTTTGGAAATTTCTATACCAAAAACGTTGGATTCTCTTAGTCAACAAGAGGTGATGATCTTCTTTATTTGTGCCTTTATGGCTCTATAATAATCATTTTTCATTATTAGAACCGCTGACCAGTCAGCTTTTCCATAGGTTTTTAGATTTTAAGGCAAGAATCTCGTATCTTACACTGAATGCATCGGTTTAGAAAACGAATTGAGGAAAATAAAAATGAACACATCTTTCAAACAACCTTAATGGTTTGCATTAACAATGTTACTATTGCAGTTGAAGTTGAATCGTCATTCGTCAACATAAAGTTAATTGTGTGATTATTATTAGTTCCGTTACCATAATTGGTTTAACATACTTTCAGTCAAAGCTTTCACATTGTGAGTTGTGACCATACATACAATAAAAAGAATAGACTAATCGCTCAACTAATGTAGAAATCAATCAACATAAATTGATATGGATACAAGATCGTATATACACTATTGAATCTTAAACCGAAATCGGTTCAATCGATCGAACCGGACCAGTCAATTTAAATTTTTAAAAACAGCGTACATAAAATAACATCTGGATATTAGCATCTGACACACTCTCTACACAGAAATGGCAGCTCACTGAATCTCTAATTTATAGAGAGATACAAAGAAGCCCGAGGAAATGGTCTGCCTCACTCACATCGCACCTCTTCTTCCTCTATCCTCCTCCTTCTCCAGCATCTCTCTTCCGTCCTCCCGTCAATTCAAAAGGTCGCTTTCTCAGTTTTCTCCGAGCGTCGATTGCAATCTCCGTTACTTCTGCTTCTTACCGAGTTTCTGATTGATTATCCTCTCTTTCTGTATGGTTTTAGTTTCAGGACTAGAATGTCTTCTTCCTCCATCGATTCCGCTCCTCCTCTTCCTCCGCCGCCGGATAATGGCATCGTCGTGAGTCTTCTCGAGCCTCCTCCATGACTGACTCTCGTGTTTTTGGAGTTTGACTTGAATCGCGCTTATTAGGAGATTGCCGTGTCGTGTGATTTTGGCAGCTTGGTTGCGGTGGGGCCACTGTGGATTTCCTGGCGACGGTGGATTCTTATCCTCAACCGGACGACAAGATCCGAAGCACTAGCCTCAAGGTAGACTTCTCCGCTTCCCTCCCACCACCTCCACGGTCTTCTGTTTTAGGGTTTACGAATGTGTGTTTGCAAATTTCAGGTGCAAGGAGGGGGAAATGCTGGAAACGCATTAACCTGCGCAGCTCGTCTGGGATTGACTTCGAGGCTGATTAGTAAAGTACGAATCGTGAATTTGGCATGAACAGATTCAACGATCGTAATTAGTAGTGATGCTAGTTGATTAGTAATTTGAAAAACTATGTTTAGGTAGCAAATGACTCACAAGGAAAGGGTATATTGGAGGAGCTGGAATCTGATGGTGTGGATACTTCCTTTCTTGTGGTAAATGCTGAACTTTTTTGATCATATCTATTGTGGAAATCGTCTCTAGCATTTGTGATTTTGTCTACTCTTTTCCTGTTCTCACACGCCAGGTCTCTAAAGAGGGCAATACACCATTTACGTACATCATAGTTGATAAGCAAACGTGAGGATCTTGCGCTGATGTTGTTATTTTTGAATTTGGGGCCATGTTTCATATTGTGAACACTTAGATTGTGGAGTGCTGTTTGATTCCTTTTTTTTGTGTCAAATCTGTTCAGGAAAACGCGTACTTGTATTCATACGCCTGGAGATCCACCCATGGTACCAAGTGACCTTTCTCAGTCTAGCATGTTATCAGCTCTAGACGGAGCAAGCATCGCATACTTTGATGTAAGATTACACGAAACCGCCTTGGTGATTGCAAATGAGGTACGAAGCATGCATCCCTTTTACCTTTCTAATGGTTTTTTTAGGCAGAGCTTTGCTTGAACTCGCGCTCTTGATTGTTTACTGATTCCTCCGAGTCACAAAGGGTGATTTTTTTATGTATCGAAAGATTAGTTTTTTTTTATAAGTTCATAGATGTTTGAGGATTTCACATGACTCTCTCTTTTTGTCTACGAAAACATAATATGCCATACAACCTACATGGTTCATTTCCTCCCCTGCTTGTTGCGTTTATCCAGAGCAGGCAAGTCGGAAGAAGATACCTATTTTGGTTGATGCAGAGAAGAAAAGAGATGGATTAGATGATCTTTTGCAACTCGCCGATTACGTTGTCTGCACAGCAAAATTCCCTCAGGTAAGTTCTTCGTTTCGGTTCTTTGTTTTGCCCAATATCTTTACTCAGCTTTTGAGGCTGATAATTCTCTGTCTTTCACGTTTAACAAGGCATGGACAGAAGCGTCTTCGATTCCAGGTGCGCTTGTTTCCATGTTGTTGAGATTGCCGAAGCTGAAGTTTGTGATCGTGACCTTAGGTGAAGAAGGATGCTTAATGATTCAGAGAACTTCAGAAGGTAAAAAAAACCCAAAGACTTCATGTCACTCACTAGAGACCAAAACTTTTTTCATGATGTATCATTTTGCTTGGTTCCCAACATCCTCTGTTTATGTTCACTTTCACAGAAGCTTCTGAATCCAAAGAGACGGACATCGAGAGTTTGGTAGAGACATTGAAGCAGAGAACAGACTCAACGGCAGCGTTTTCAACATGTGTTTCATCGGTAACAAAACGTTCTATCTCCTAAAATAACTTCACACTGGCATGAAGACATTCCGACTTTTCCACACATGGTTTCTTGCAGGAGACGACAAAACTGAAGGCCAACGGGATAGGAACACTGAACGGAAGATTGTTTCTTGGAACGGCGGAGAAAATTCCTCCAGAGGAACTCGTTGACACCACCGGTGCAGGCGACGCATTCATAGGAGCAGTTCTTTATGGTAACAGATTTGCAAAGATACTTTATACACTCCCTGAGAAATCAGAACCAAAAACTCAAATTGTTAAATAATCACTGACCCACCTCTTCTCGATCTGTAGGCATATGCGCCGGCATGCCCCCAGAGAAAATGTTACCCTTCGCTGCACAAGTGGTAGCTCTCCTAAACCGAAAACATATTCCACAGAACTTAACCAATGCATATGAAACTTCATCCATACACACATCTTTCACCAATGCATAGGACTTATTTTTGGATAACCGAGCTTCCTAATCCTAAACCGAAACACAGACTAATCTATATGGTTGCCATTAGTTTGAGACTCTTATAATTGGCCACTGGCTCCAATGACTTTAAGTCTAAGCGATCTTCGTTTTTTTCTTTTTCTTGCAGGCGGCTTGCAACTGCCGAGGTTTGGGAGCTCGAACCGGTCTTCCTCACCGTACTGATCCGCGACTTGTACCCTTTCTGGTTTGACAACTCTAATGTTTCTATGTTCCTTTGTCAACTCTACTATTCTTCCGAGTCACTTGCTCCATCGCCCACTTTCATATATTTTAAAACTTTCTACTTAGAAAATAAATAAAGACTTGGTGTCAAATTATGTTCATATTTAGGTTTGACTTTGTTTCGTTATTCTAAACTAATGCCTAGTATGTGAATCTGTGAACACTTCAACCTTGTTGATCGCGTCCGTAAAGGCGTTCAATATCGACGGTTAGGATTGCACCGAAAGCTATATGCGAAGATGATCTCAGCCATCGACTGCTCCGAGACAAAGGTGGATCGTTACGCCCACGCGCTATATTATCTATGCCGTCACTTGCTCTCTCCACTTGGCAAGATGTTAGTAACACTTAATAAAGACAAAATCAAAAAAATCAGAACCGCTGATTCCACGCGCCTCTTTCATTGGTTAATAATGTGGGCCCTATTATCGTGTCGTTAATGGGCTTAATGACGGCGAGATGATCGGCCGTGTGTGTGTGAACCGTAAAAGAGGCAAATGTTGTCAAATGTAACAAGACCAATGGTAAAGTAAACGAACAATACCTGACCACCAAATGCCACGTTGCCACTCACAGTCAAATATTTTCAAGTCTTGGAACTTGGAAGTCATTTGGCTTTAGTAATTACCCCCGCCTTAATTACCTTTAACCCCGAATAGTGAAATAAAAAATTAGTATCCCACATGAAATTCCTAAATTGTACTCAATTGGCATGTTGACAAAATGATGGCTTCTAAAAAGTGGATTTCAGATTATAAGTTTATAACAATGAGTTATCAAACGATCATCAAATTTTCTTTATAATTCAGTTAATATCTTGTTGATGAGGTTTTTCTTTGGCAACAATTTAGAAAGTTGGGTATATTCCCAAATCTTTACTGAAAAAAAAAAGTATTTCAATGACAAAATTGTAAAGTAAGATCCTTTTTGCAATTTTTCCTACATAGAAATTATACTAGCATAATATTAGATAAGCTCGATTAAGATATTATTAATAGAAAATACTGTATTTGAAAAAATTTATAACCTCCTTATCTAACGTTTCTTTCTGACTATGCTTCCTTTTTTGTTAATATTATATAATAGTTTGTCTAATCAACTAACATGTATTATGCGAACTTGAATCTAGATGATGACACCAACACAATCACTAAGTTATTTGATCAACAAGATCAAAGATTATTAACAACATTGTCTATTATTAGCTTTTTCACATTACTATAATTTGTAAGATACTACTTTATCCCATCATTTTTCCATTACAAAAACCAGAAAGCTAGTTGTTTTATAGTATTTGTTAGCTAGAAAAAAATAATGGAAGATGAGAATGTGTGGACCAATTAAATTTATTAGCTTAATAAACTCATTAAGACAGGGTACCTTAGGAATTGAATGGTAAATTAACGCTTTCTTACCTTAATTACAGAGTAAAAGCTACGACGACTAATCACTATTACTCAGAGAATTTGGAAAAGAAAGACAGAAGAAAATCTACAGAAAATTAATAAATATTATGTATAATTAAAAAAAACGACGAAAGCGTCTCTATAGCAAAAAAAAAAAAAAAGAACAGACTAAAAGAGGGGCTTAGGATTTCTTCTCGAGCAGATTTGAATTTTTTAATTTTTCTTTGCTTGAAGAATTCTAAGCTTTTCTCATACTTCCTTAGGATTCAATCGCATTTCTGGGAATTTTTGTTGTTGTTTTTGTTATCGTAGAATTTATTTCTGGGTTTTCAAGTTGCAGAGTTCGTCTGCTCCTTGCGTAAGTTACATACAGACATTTACCATCGTTCGAGTTTGTGAACGATCATCTGATATCGGCGGATTCTCATGCGTTTTAGATCGAAAAGCAAGCAAAACTTGTTTCTGATCTGATAAATCTCCGGTGGAAATGGTATTTTATTTACTGTTTCTGGGTTTTTCTGGGTTTATTTCCGTTCACATTCCAGAGGGTGTTTATAAATTTCAGAGTATCATATCTCTATTGCGATTGTGTTCTCTGTTCTTCGTATGGTTGAAAATTGTCGGTTTGTTCTCGTAAGTAGGCCATTGTTGACTGATCCGTCGTTGGACTATAATTGGAGTTTTTTTTCTATCATCTGTTATTTCTTCGAATTGGGTTATTTGAACGCCCAAATTAGTTTCATGCATAGCTTGATCCTTGTGGGATATAGAGTTCTAGCTCAAAATCCGATATATCGGGGATGATAAGACTTTTAGTTGATTCATGATTGACTAGAATTTTGATGTCTCAAGACTATAATTTTCTAGGGAACATGCTCACACTATAGGTTAGGAGTTATTATACAATCGTGAAGATAGTTTATCTGAAACTGTTGTGTGTTTGCAGGCTTGTACTACAGTTAATGTTGGCTCTTCCGTTTGGGTCGAAGATCCAGAGGAGGCATGGATAGACGGTGAAGTTATTGAGGTTAAAGGAGATAACATTAAGGTCAAATGTACCTCAGGGAGGACGGTATGTTTCACTAGTTTGAATCACTAACTTGTGAAGTATTGAAACTTTACGTTTGTTTTTTTTGTGTGTATCTATACGGAGATTAAGGGACTTGGTTACGTTATTGGAAATATTTTCAGGTGGCTGTTACAGTTTCAAATGCGTACCCAAAAGATGTCGAAGCTCCAGCTTCTGGAGTGGATGATATGACAAGGCTAGCATATTTACATGAACCGGGAGTCCTCCAAAATATGAAATCAAGATTTGATATCAACGAAATATATGTGAGTATTTATTGGATTTCATTACAATCGAGCTTTTTTTTTACATAATTATATTTAAATGTCCTCTGCTGACTGAATCTTCTTGAACGTCAATTTTTTTTCTTTCACTTTCCAGACTTACACAGGGAATATTCTGATTGCTGTAAACCCTTTTAGAAGACTACCGCATCTTTATAATAACCATATGATGCAACAATACAAAGGTGCAGGCTTTGGAGAACTGAGCCCCCATCCGTTTGCAGTTGCGGATGTAGCTTACAGGTGCCTGACATGTAATTTTGGAGTCTTTTCTTTTTTTCTTCTTTTGTTACTGGTTGTTTCCTGTTTTGACTTTGCTTGGCTTGTTTTCCATTGGCGGTAGACAAATGATAAATCAGGGCCTTAGTCAATCGATCTTGGTCAGTGGTGAAAGCGGAGCAGGGAAGACTGAGACTACTAAATTGCTCATGCAATATCTGGCAGACATGGGAGGCCGAGCTGTTTCTGAAGGAAGGAGTGTCGAAAAGAAAGTTTTGGAGGTTATCCATGGCTTATCTTTTAGTATAGGCCTTCTGGATTGTCAAAGTCAGCTTTTGTTGATATCGATTCGATAATCATTCTTACATATCTTTATGTTTTCTTTTGTATGCAGTCCAATCCCGTTCTAGAAGCGTTTGGAAATGCAAAGACCGTTAGGAACAACAATTCAAGGTGAATATAGTATTAAATATACTTATACATATGGATGTGTGTGTAGACGCTTTTTCATTTCTTCTTGTGTTGAATATCCTTTTACCTATTGATTCATGTTCATGCTCGTTATAATGGTGCAGTCGATTTGGTAAATTCGTGGAGATTCAGTTCGATCAAAGGGGAAGGATATCGGGAGCTGCTATCAGGACTTATTTGTTAGAGAGGTCGCGGGTTTGCCAGGTCTCAGATCCTGAGAGGAATTATCACTGTTTTTACATGCTCTGTGCTGCACCACCTGAGGTACGTATGGCTTTCTCTCCTTTTAAAATGATATCCAGAACTTCCGAGCGTTCTTCTTGTTGGAGACGTTAGAACTTGATTGGTATTTGAAGTAGCTATGGATCAGACTTTGCTCTTTACTCCCAACTGTGTTAATATACAAAATAAGCTCTCTCAAGCTCAATCGCTTGTATGTTTGGTTCACGTTTATTAAGAGTCAGTTGGGAGAACTCTGTGCAGTCTTCCTTAGGATGTGTTCTCATTGCCCTTTTATTATTTAACCAGGACATAAAAAAATGGAAATTAGCGGATCCAAGAACATTTCATTACTTAAATCAATCTCAATGCATTGAATTGGAGAGAATGGATGATTCGAAGGAGTATCATGAAACTAGAAAGGCAATGGATATTGTTGGGATAAATTCAGAGGAGCAGGTAAGTTTTCTTTTGTTTTGGTCATTTTCTTAGTAGAAACTATGCTATCAGACATATGAGTATCTTTTGGTATAAATTTTATGTCAGGAAGCAATATTTCGAGTTGTAGCTGCTATTCTTCATCTAGGCAACGTGGAATTTGGAAAAGGAAAGGAATCAGACTCGTCAGCCCCAAAAGATGAGAAGTCAATCTACCATCTGAAGACTGCGGCTGAGCTTTTCATGTGAGTAACTAATTGGTTATCTATGACGTCGAAATTTGAAAGCGCCCTTTCTGAAACTGGTTCGTTTACTATGGAATAAAGAAGTCATTCCTGACCCCGTGGATTTCAACAGGTGCGATGAGCAGGCACTGGAGGATTCTCTATGTAAACGTGTGATGGTGACACGTGATGAAACCATTACGAAATGTCTGGATCCAGAATCTGCGGCACTCAGCAGAGATGCATTGGCAAAAACTGTGTACTCAAGATTGTTTGATTGGTATGTCTAATATTAATACATTCGGAATGTTGGTAGCTGGATGCATCTCTTTCTTTCTTTGCAAATATGCAAACTTAATTTACTTATTCAATTGCTCTTTCAGGATTGTGAACAAGATCAATAATTCAATTGGACAAGACCCTGATTCAAAATATTTGATTGGAGTGCTGGATATATATGGATTTGAGAGTTTCAAGACAAACAGGTGCTTAAGCGGTATGCCTTTTGTTTGATAAGGGAAAGGAACCACTTTAGAGAAATACTATGGAATTAAGCCTGATATTAATTTAATTCTCAACATTTTCACAGAGTAGTTCTGTTGTTTAGTTTGTTGGTTCTCTATAGATTTCTTGTTTTTAGTAAGCAATGGAAGGGGTAGTAATATATCTCAACTCCTAGAAGTTTTTGGATATCAAGTAAAAGGGAGAAACAAAGCTTTTGATAATTACTTAACGTGAGACCTTTCCAACTTTTGGAGACCAGATATGAATTGTGAAAGAAAATGAAAATATCAAATAGATTTTGCTTGTGTGTTCCTTAAAAAGTGCTCTGTATTGCATGCGATTTGCAGCTTTGAGCAATTTTGCATCAACTTGACGAATGAGAAACTTCAGCAACATTTTAATCAGGTTTGTCTGAGTTTTATTTATCTTTAGATTGCTGCCAGTTTTAGCCTGATTTTCCCTAATAGTGATCCATGATTTTGTTTTTTCCCCGGGCAGCACGTCTTCAAAATGGAACAAGAAGAGTATAATAAAGAAGAAATTGATTGGAGCTACATTGAATTCGTAGATAATCAAGATATTCTGGACCTTATTGAAAAGGTCGCTGTTTCTCCATGTTTGATCTGTTACCTCTTACTGAGTATAATTTATTAAACACTATTGGTTATTGTATTCATGTCTCAGAAACCTGGTGGTATCATTGCTCTCCTGGATGAGGCCTGGTATGGCTCTAAGAACATAAATTGATATTCTCCTTTTCATATTAAATTTCATACCTGTATTTTGCAGCATGTTCCCAAGATCAACACATGAAACATTTGCTGAAAAGATGTATCAAACGTTCAGAGGTCACAAGCACTTTAGTAAGCCAAGATTAGCTCGTTCTGACTTCACAATTTGCCACTATGCTGGTGATGTGAGTACTTGCTTCGACGTTTTGAATATTTATAATGCAATGTTGCCCTAAAAGCTAGCTGTTCATACCCTAATAAGTACTAAATCATATTTTCAGGTCACTTATCAGACCGAACAGTTCCTGGAAAAGAACAAAGATTATGTTGTTGCCGAACACCAGGCTCTGCTAAATGCTTCGAAGTGCACCTTTGTTGCATGTCTCTTCCCTCTTCTTGCAGAAGATCCTAACAAAAAGTCAAAGTTCTCTTCGATTGGTTCACGATTTAAGGTGCAGTAAATGAGGTAGTTTTACGCAAATTGTTGTCTGTTTAGTCTCATGACTACTGAAGCTACTTTCTTACTCAATGCAGCAACAATTGGTGACATTGCTTGAAACCCTGAGTACTACTGAGCCTCACTATATTCGTTGTGTGAAGCCCAATAATCTGCTAAAGCCTTTGATCTTTGAGAACCAAAATGTTTTGCAACAGTTACGATGTGGGGTGAGATTTCGATAATTTGGTTTTTTTTAACAAATGTTCTTGTTGTAGTTACATGCAAGTTTGAAATTCTAAATGTGCATGTCTTTCAGGGTGTGATGGAGGCAATCAGGATTAGCTGTGCTGGATTTCCTACTAGAAAACAATTTGAAGAATTCCTAGACAGATTTAGTATCCTTGCTCCTGAAGTTTTGGATAAGAGGTTTCCCTCTCTTAAATTTAGAGTTTGGAAATTTACCTATCTAATATTGAAAACATTCTAACTTTTGGTTGGCCTCTTTCTAGCTCTGATGATGTAGCTGCCTGCAAGAATCTTCTTGAAAAAGTTAAACTCGAAGGATACCAGGTACATTTTTGAAGCCCCATGTTTTGAATACTTTGCAATGGAACTCTGATGAAGAGCATCTGATGGATCCGTTTTTTTTTCTTTCAGATTGGTAAGACGAAGGTTTTCCTCAGGGCTGGACAGATGGCTGACTTAGATGCTCGAAGGAATGAAGTCTTAGGCAGAGCAGCCAGCAGCATCCAGAGGAAATTCCGCTCCTACTTGTCCCGCAAAACTTTTATGATGCTCCGCAAGGCTGCAATAAATATGCAGGCTGTGTGCAGAGGTACTTTAAAGTTAAAAGAATGATATCCGACTTTACAACTCGGCAATTAGAATTTTTACTAATAAATTCATTCTCTGCTTTGTTTTCCGGAACGTATAGGTCAACTTGCTCGTCATATCTTTGAGGGTCTGCGCAGAGAAGCTGCGGTTTTGGAGATCCAGAGAGACATACGGATGCATCTTGCTAGGAAGTCTTACAAGGAATCATATTTTGCTGCTGTTTCCATTCAATCAGGAATACGTGGTATGGCTTCCCGTGACGAGCTACGGTTCCAAAGGCAGAACAAGGCGGCAGTTGTAATTCAGGTACAAAGCTCCTGTTGAAAATTGGTGAAAAGACGACATGTTTTTTTTTCCTTGTTGGTTATAATTATTAGATGTCTCCAGCTTTTTATCTTTGTCCCACCAAATTTCTTGTAAAATTATGACTTTGAATTTGTTCTCTTTGTATATTACAGAGCCATTGCCGCAAATTCCTGGCCCAGTTGCACTACCAGAGGCTCAAGAAAGCAACAATCACAACACAAAGTGCATGGAGAGCAAGGTTAGCTCGTAAAGAACTGCGGAAGCTTAAGACGGTGAGCTTTTTTTTCACTTCTGTGTGTTTCCTCTTGATTGTATCAGTTCTCATTCTAAGCGTAGTATATGGATCTTGCAACACTTCAAGTAATGTTGGATTTTGAATGAGCTTATATTATGGTTTATAATTGAGCTGGCTCTTTTGATGCGATTGCTAGCTGCTGGAAGTTATCTTTTTCTGTTTGAGGGTCTTTGAAATTTAGGCAGAAGATGTTGGCCTTTCCCAAGATATGAATAATTGCAACAATGATGCCTTCATATTTCGTGCAGGCTGCAAAGGAAACGGGAGCCCTTCAAGCTGCCAAGAATAAGCTTGAGAAACAATTGGAAGAACTCACATGGAGACTGCAGCTAGAGAAACGCATGAGGGTAAGTTAATAGAGTTTATTTCTTTTGGTTTGCCTCTTGTCCTTAAAAATTTTTAATTCGAAAGTTTATTCTCTAAAATACTGGATTCAGATATTTAACATATCTATTATCTATCTTTGTGGCTTTAACGATTTAGACGGACATGGAAGAAAGTAAAACACAAGAAAATGCAAAACTGCGATCATCATTGGAAGAAATTCAACTTGAATTCAAGGAAACCAAAGCCTTGCTCTTACAGGAAATAGAAGCTGCTAAAAATTCGGCAGAAGTTGTTCCTGTGTTGCAGGAGGTTCCTGTAGTTGACACAGAGCTAGTGGAGAAGTTAACAAGTGAAAACGAAAAGCTCAAGGTAGGAAATTAGCTCTGTTGTTTTTTGTTCTCTTTTGCGTCTATTAAAGATGTCAAGGCTGTGAAATATCGGAAGGAAGGTTTCATATTTCTTTTGTTTCTCATTTGGTTTCAGTCCCTGGTAAGTTCATTGAACCAGAAGATTGATGAAACAGAGAAAAAATTCGAGGAGACAAGCAAAATAAGTGAGGAGAGGCTGAAGCAGACTCTAGAGGCTGAAACTACAATTGTCAATTTGAAAAAAGCTGTGCACGAGTATCCACTATACATCTCTGAGTCTTTTTATTTATTTTACCAAAGATCCCATCGGCACTCAATATTAAGCATTATTTTATTCACATGTTCATTTGCAGACTTCAAGAAAAAATCTTGGATGTGGAATCTGAAAACCAAATACTGAGGCAGAAATCCCTCTTACATACATCAGGACATCTCCCTCCGACTCCGGTTAAGGTATATCTACGCAAAAATATACTTCGATGGCTACGAAATCTTGATCACTAAGTAGTGCTCTCCTTACTTGCAGAACTCACAAAATGGTCACTTTCCTAGCAAAGAAAGTCCGTACAATGTAAGTCGCGTCTTGCGATTCTATCCCCTTTTCCCCGAATTATGTTCCATCTGTTTGTATGTCCTTATACAACATCTGTGCAGGGATCTGATATTGAATCACCAGCAAGAACCCAAGAACAAGAATCTGATGCAAAGACTCGGAGATTGCAAATAGAACGTCAACATGTATGTTGTTTAGTTTAATTACTCCATTCAGTGTTTCTGATCTATCGGATGTGCCTTATGAGATTGAAGAGAGATATTTGTTCTTGCTATAGGAGAATGTTGATGCTCTTATCAAGTGCGTTACAAAGAATATTGGATTCAACCAGGAAAAGCCTGTCGCCGCATTTACGATATACAAATGCCTCCTTCACTGGAAATCCTTTGAAGCTGAAAGGACCAATGTGTTTGATCGTCTTGTTCAAATGATTGGTTCTGCCATCGAGGTACTATATATTACATGTCTCTTTGTAATTAACACATTTTGCCCCTTTTTTTTGTTATCTGAAACACGGTAATCTGGTTTTTACCTCTAATATTCACTTTGTTATGATCTTTAGGATGAAGATGACAACGAGCATTTGGCATATTGGTTGTCCAATACTTCAACCTTGTTGTACATGATCCAACAAAGTCTGAAACCTGGTGGAACCGGTGCCACTCCACAGCGAAAACCACCTGTTACTTCCTTGTTTGGAAGAATGGCCATGGTATATATGCCTCTGTTTGTCTATGTTTTTGAAGTTTTTTTCCCAAAAGTTTCTGAAGCATTATTTTCTTGTATACCAGGGTTTCCGTTCAGCACCATCCTCTGCCGAGACTTCTGCAGCAGCAGCTGCTGCAGCGGCTGCAGTCATTCGCCCCGTTGAGGCCAAGGATCCAGCTTTGCTTTTCAAACAGCAGCTTACAGCTTACGTAGAAAAGATATTTGGAATGATTCGGGATAACCTGAAAAACGAGTTGCAAGCTTTGCTTTCCCTTTGCATCCAGGTCGGCTAAGAAAAAAATATTCATTATTCTCTTTTTTAACATTTGATCTATTAGTCTTCTTTTCTTCTATGTATGTGGTGAAGTCTGATATGAACGGACCCTCTTTTTTAGGCACCTCGAACATCAACGGGACGTTCGCTACGATCTGCAAAGTCAATGGTTAAGGATTCTCCTTTAGACCATTGGAGGGGAATTAATGACGGCTTATTTGCTCTTCTAAACACACTGAAGGAGAACTTTGTATGAGAAATCCACGAAACTCGTCTTCTCCAGTTACGTTTTTTTTCTCTCTTTAATGTCTGAAAATTCTTATATCTTGTTTTTCTACTTTCAGGTTCCTCCGGTTCTTATCCAAAAGATATTTACTCAGACATTCTCATTCATCAATGTCCAATTATTTAACAGGTGAGAGATTGGTTTATTGCCTACAATCAAGTAGGCATGTCCATGAAAGCCATTATTATTATAACAGGGTTCATTCTTGTGTGCAGCCTTCTTTTGCGACGAGAATGCTGTACATTTAGCAACGGAGAATATGTAAAATCTGGTTTAGCACTGTTAGAGGAATGGTGCGCCGAAACAAAAGAAGAAGTATTTCACAGCCAATCTTCTTTTCTATTTTGTGAAGTTATAGATTGATTAATGCATAGCACAATTTGGCTCACTACACATCTTCTCTTGAATTGCAGTATGCTGGCTCATCCTGGGATGAACTTAAACATATCAGGCAAGCTGTTGGATTCTTGGTATGTTCTTATTACACTTGTCTGACCATAACAAAAAAAAACATCTATTATCATTTCCACATGAGAGGTTTGTGCAGTTCTCATGAACGTCCCTTGAATTGGCATTTACCAACAGGTCATCCATCAGAAGTACAGAATCTCATACGATGACATCGCACATGATTTATGCCCTGTGAGTCCCTCCATCGGCCTCATCCATTTACTCGATATGTACATGCAGGGATAAAGAAATTTCCTTCTGAACTTTGAATGTTGTTGTCAATTTTGCAGATCCTTAGTGTCCAGCAACTTTATAGAATATGTACACTGTATTGGGATGACAGCTACAACACAAGAAGTGTATCCCAAGATGTGAGCTTTTCTTCAGAGATAGCTCTCTCTCTCTCTCTCTCTCTCTCTCTCTCTCTCTCTCTCTCTCTCTCTCTCTCTCTCTCTCTCTCTCTCTCTCTCTCTCTCTCTCTCTCTCTCTCTCTCTCTCTCTCTCTCTCTCTCTCTCTCTCTCTCTCTATCCGCTCTTATGCTTCTGCTCTGAACAATGCTACTTGTAATGTTCATGAACAGGTGATTTCAAACATGAAAGTGCTTATGACAGAGGATTCCAACAACGCGGACAGCAGTGCCTTCTTGTTAGACGAAGATTCTAGGTAACAAAAAAAAACCTAAATCCAAACTCTTTATGCAGAAGCTTTGTTTAGCTTCTTAATTCCTTTTTTTTTCCTGCTCAGCATTCCTTTCACGACCGAGGATCTATCAAGTTCAATGCAAGATAAGGACTTTGCAGAAATGAAACCAGCCGAAGAGCTTGAAGAAAACCCAGCTTTCAGTTTCTTGCTTTAATGGTGAAGATACCAAAAGATGATGCAGGTGTGTACTGTCCCTTCAGGAACACGCCAGTTAAAAAACAGAAAGAAGAAGAACAGAACAGATTTCCAAATTCTTTTTTTTTCTCATTCTTTCACCTTGACGGCGAGACATTGATTGATTCTCCATTTCGTTTCTTTTGTTATTCATTGTCTCTGATCATCCCAGAAGTTTATCCAATGTCTATACTTTTGCTGGGGGAAAAAGAGAAGAGACATGGAACTTTTGTTCTTCTTGTGCAGTTTTTCTTCTTTCTTCTCTTTGGTTCAACTTTAATTCCAATTTTGGTGATTATAACTCTTTGGTGAAAATTAATCACCAGTTGTTATAGCAAAGATATAACAACTCGTGTTTTTGGTTTGTACAAAAGGAAACGACTTAAGTGGGTAAAAAGATGTAGTTTTGCTATATTGGATTTATTTTCTATAAGTATCCCATTTATTTATGATATCCAAATTCACAAACTTGAACGCTACGAGATTTGAATGTACAGTATTGTATAATTATTACTGACGTTTTTTCATCATAAAATTAGAATTAGTAGAATAAAATCCTATTTTAACTTTTCAAATTTATCTTTATTTCTTTCCATATTTTTACTACGTAGTTTCAGTACGCAACTTGCCGGGGAAGCAAAACCAACAAAAACTCCTTGCTATACAAGCCTATATATATCTTTCTTATATAGTATATAGGAAGAATCATCGATTAAAGAAAAAAATAACTGAATCAAATCAAAATTACGATGAGGCACACGATGAAACTCCTTGGTCTACAAGCAAGGCGGATTCCGGCATTGAATATTGCTTCCCGTGGTCGCCATTCCGGAACCCTAATATCTGCTCACCGGAACAACCCTTTGCTGCTTCGCATCGCTACGGCTTTAGACCAGAAGACACCAGTCGTTCAAGTGCTTGACCAATGGCGAGAACAAGGGAACCAAGTCGAGCCTTCGGATCTCAGATGCATCATCAAGAAGCTCCAAGATTCCCATCGATTCTCCCATGCCCTCCAGGTTCCGAATCTAAACACAATTCTTCCTCCGTTTCAGCCACAGTCAAAACCTTACCCCTTTTCTTTATAATGTGTCTTCTTGGTGCTTTTAGATATCGGAATGGATGAGTTCACATCCGGTTTACACTCTGTTCCCGGAAGATATCGCATCTAGGGTTCAGTTGATAGAGACAGTTTTGGGTCTAAAAGAAGCAGAGAAGTTCTTGGAAAGCATCCCTGAGAGCATGAAGGACTACACCGTCTACACAACTCTGTTGACCTTGTACACAAGATCCGAGGACACTCTGCATAAAGCAGAGCCCGTCTTCGAGAAGATGAGAGAGCTCGGTTTCCTCCTGAAGCCTTCCCCATACAATCTAATCCTATCTCTCTACAGTCCACTGAGAAACAAAGAAAAAGTCAACGAGCTCTTGATCGAGATGGAAGAGAATAACGTCGAGCCAGATGACCTCACGGCGAACCACGCGCTCTTGGTGTACGCAGCTGTATCCGACATCAAGGCCATGGAGAAGTTCCTGAGAAGCAACCCTGGGGTCAAACTAGAGTGGGGGACTTGCATCGACATGGCTAAAGCTTACTTGAAATCGGGATCAACGGAAAAGGCATTGGCTATGCTGCATAGAACAGAGCTTTTGGTTGATTCTTCGTCAAGAAAACCGGCTTACGAGGCTCTCATGAGAGCATATGGCGATGTGGGAGAGAGAGAGGATGTCTACCGAATTTGGGAGCTTCACAAGAGCGCGGGTTCGAGCAACGAAGGGTATCAAGCTGTGATTAGTTCACTCTTGACTATAGGAGACATGGAAGGCGCAGAAGTTATATACAGAGAGTGGGAGCTTGGAGGTCTGCCGTTCGATGCTCGCATCCCTAATACTCTCATCTCTGGATATAATGTAAAGGGGATGGAGAGAAGACCAATTAAATAATCCAACTTTTGGGAGGTTTAATTGTGCAGTATATGCGAGACATATTATTACAACTGTTTAATTAATTTCATAACAATTAGTTAAAATTCTTTCAAGAAAGTGAATGGCTTTGTCAATTCTTTTTTTCCTCTTTATAAAAATATTGTTCTTATTTGTGGTATTGTGTGGTATAACCGTATAACATAAGGCTATAATACATCAAGGATGAGATGGAGAGCGAGTTTCATGATATATATGTGTGGGTTGATTATTTTAATACTCAAGCTAACGAAATAAGGTTTGTGAAACGGATCAAGATTTGGAGAAATTTAGTTTCCTTTTATACATGGGGGTGTGTTCAGACTTTCAGACTTCAGAGTGAAGCATATAAAACAGAACAACACCCAGAACAGGGGAAAACAGAGCCAAGCAGAGGAGAGAGGGAAACAGGGCAGCTGGGCTTCTTCCAACAACTGGGCTTAACCGTTGAAGACTGTTTGGGAATGGGCTCAGACATTTGTTGAGAGTAACTGGGCTTCTTCTCGTGATGGGCCCAATTGCTATTCTTCCTTTAAGTGAGACGCCGTCGTTTTGCAGTTTGTCATTTGTCCAAAACTGCAGCGTTTTGCTATGCGTACGAGTCTTGTCTTGTGGATGCTTTGCTCTAAATGTATATAGCGCACACATAAATGTCATTTTCACGTAAATAAGTGAAACATCAAACATGCTAAACAAAATTTACGTTACAGCTGTAATGAAGTCCTTTTCCACTTAGTCACACGACCAAAACACCCGATAATACAGATGGAGAGCTAATTTACAAACAAATTAATGAAGTTATCCAAAAAGAGTCCACTTGGATCTACACAGGACCATACATATTGAGTTTTCTAAACAGAGGGACCATAAATAAAAGACTTTGTACTATTCTTTTCTTTTTTCTTGTCTTGCAATATGGAAATGGAATGTATGGTTTAACACCATCTCCCTCGTGGTCGTGGTACATTTCAAGTTTACATTTTTGTTTTTTCTTCTTATATGGATAACCAATGTTTCATTGTTAAGATGGACCAATTTTCTCCCAGTCGATTAATATAATAAATATTAGTTTGACTTTTAAAGTTGTGAGGGTTGTTTAATAAAATATTTGAAAATTCTGAAAATATGTCGGCTTCATTTATTTAATAAACGAATATGTATTAAATATGTTTATAATATTCGTTGACTTTAAGCTTCTGTTGTTTAGGTTATCATCTAACACAATGAATATATACATATTGAAACATGTATCATTGAATATTCTTTTAAGAGTCAAAACTACAACGTTGTAGCGGTTAAGAAATAAGAATAGATTTTTTAAACTAGCATATAATTTCAAATAATTTAAGATTTACAGTGAAAAGTAAGAACAAGAACTTGTAGTAGTGGCCATAATAGGACCTTAAATTATTGTTCCTTACTTATCACTGTAAATCTTAAATTATTTGAAATTATATGCTAGTTTTTTAAAATCTGTTCGCGGCATGGATCATGTAGTCACAAGTCATATATACCAATTGTGCACAGTTATTGACATCTTTTGCGATTTATTTTTGCAACTGCTATTTTTAAATAATATTAAAAACTGTTATCTCAAAAATAATTTATTATTATTAGCATAGTTTAATATAAATATTTTAGGACTCCTCACTTATGGGGTTAACTTCAAACCAAATACCATGTATTATATGATAATGTAGAGCCGGAATTCTCTTGCTAGAGAGTCTTGTGTGTTGAACAAAAAAAAGAGAGTCTTGTGTTTCCTTCACGCCAAAGCAGCTAGATAGAGAGAAACTAATTAGACAATTAGCCTCGTAATACTAGTGAGACGTCTGTGCATTGAAACAGACATTATCCATTATAAACAAATATTTGTTCAGCACTCAGAAGCTGCTAACTAAGATATCAAGAGCCGTGAAACGAAACCATAATTCTATAGTTTCAAATCAAGGACACGACAAAGAGGAAATTTGGATTCTAATTGTCTAAATTCATGCTTCACAAGCAAACATGATCAATCAATAATAAGTCTATCTCGTATCGTAAGTCGGTTCTCTGTAGCCAACCAAAACGATAAAAAAAATTAAAGTTGTTTTGGAATGCTTTAATATGGTGTTAATTTGAGAATTATTTTTCTCTTTATTGGACTTGAATAACACATTTCTAACATGAAAGAGAAACGTAACAATATGACTTTCTAATGATGGAAAGTCCAACTTTAATTTAGTTATGGGCATAATCAAATGGACTTTAACTGACCTTCGGTTAAATCAGATTAGAAAGATTTAATACTATTTATATTTTAGCTATGGACGGTCTCTACTCTACTGATGAACTCCTTACGTAATTCTTGTAAATTACTACAAAAACATTAAGTTTATTATATTCAGCACATGCAGTGTCACGTGACTTAACTAACACCGGCATGCGCGGGACGTATTGTATACGAAGAAGATGCATGTGGCACATTAGTTTTGATAAAGAAAAAAAAGAGCCATAATAAAATTCAGTTTTTCCTAATATAAAACTGATAAAATGATGATTATTGAAGTAAACAAATGTCCCTAGAGCGTCTCAAAGGGTTTGATCGAAGGGTGAAAGGACGTGGCTCTTCATGAATGTTCATGCATTATCCTTTTTGGACGTCGACAATTTTTTGACATTCCAAACTTAATCTCGATTCTGCAACCATATATAAATAATATTTTTGTAGAGTTTGTTGTAAAATTTGGTTCATGTCCATCCACTCTTCTTAGTGTTACGTATGTTCTCGGACGATTATAAAACCAATGCATAATGCATAAGAATATTCTTTTCTTAGCCATTATTTCTAGCGCCGGAATATTATCTTGATAGAAATTCCTTGTGAAACTGAAACTTTTAGTCTCCCAATTTCTGCATAATGTAATAAAATACTAAAAAAATAATAATCATTTGTGTCTATAAGTAGTTCTTCGTTTGGGAAGATTGGATGAATGGCGGCTGGTCCAACTAACTGAGACTAAATCATATATAATTATTTTACCTGCTCTATGTCAATGATATATATATATATTCGTATTGGTTTCAATATTAATTAGTTTTTAATGTCATATGTTAAGAAAAAAGTAATTACAAAATATTCTATCTAACCATGTCATGTCATCAGTCGTCCATGTACATTAAGAGCTATTACTTTTTCTAAAGAATATAAAAACAAAAACTTGAAAAAACTTGTCTAAAGATGTTACTTTGACTGAGCGTAACGTGGTACGTAATAAGCGTTTATTCCAACACAACCGAAAGAAAGTCAAAACTCAAAACTCTCAAGTAATCTGCGGAGTGGTAACTAAATAAATTAACATTAAATTAATTTCAAAATCATTAGTTGGTTGCTATAAGGTGGAAATTAGTTGATGCCCATTTGGCCACACTGCTTTTATAAGATATATATTAAAATGTGTGTGCTGTGTGCATAATGTATATATGTGAACAGCATGTGGATATAAGTCATGTTCCATGCAAGAAAGAAAACTCTTCCATGGACCTGAAGTTTAATCACCATCTACCACGTCTCACTATGTGTAACCACATGTTTCCATTATATTAATATCTTTTATGCATAATGTATAATCAAATTACGTTCTTATCTTTCTTGGTTTGATTACAAATCATATTAGTTTCTCCATAATCAAATGCCGCACAGTGATTAACATCTAAACATAAAGGGTAACAAATAAATAGAAACTCTTATATCTTCACGGCTTCTAAATTTTTTTTGTTATATAACTTTGGCTTTTTTTTTTTGCTCGAATTATTTTGACTTACTTAAATTTAGATTATTGCTTTTCAAACTCATATGAAACCGATATCCAATCAAAATGTTGCTATATTGTCATTTTTCGGTTGTCGAATTGTAAAAATATATAACCGTTAATTTGAACACAGATATAAAGAAACTACTATTTTAAAAAGACTACTGATAGACCTAAAGATTAATGCTTTTACACTTTTCTTCATATGAGAAGGTATCCGATAAAAGTTTTTTCATATATCATATGGGGTATGAAGCAATAATTAGACGATACATTTGATTTAATTTGAATTAAACAAAAACAGATGATACATTGGTCCAGCGTTCGGTTTAATTAAGGGAACTATTTCCGGTTTACAGCTTAATATAATACTTCCTTCGTTCCAGAAAATATGATATTTTAGCTTGTTTACATAAATTAAGGAAGAGTTACTTTTTAGTTATTAGTACATTATTTTTTTACAATCATTATTTATTAACCAATAGTGATTTAAAGATTTGAATAATTTTAGTTATTTTTCTTAAAATCTACAAAAATATGTATTTAATACTTTAAAACATCAATCTTAATGAAATAAGTAAAAAATTTAAAACATCATACATTTAAGAACGGAGAGAGTAGATATCGGGACCACACATCCTTGGGTTTTTGAGTCAGTCTATTGAGTTCTATTGGTTTCTATCTCTCTCCATTGTTGGGCGGTACCTAGTTTCAAGTGTTTTTCTTTTAATATATTAACAAAAAATAATAATTGTACCAGTTAAATATTCGAAATTATTTGAATATTTATACACTGAAGCGAAATTCTAATAAAATACGGACCTGGGTTGCCACATGAAAAACCTTCGGTCGCGCCAGGTGCAATGGCCCTGTCACGGTATCAACATAAATTTATAGTTAATATTATTTAATTAGTGATGGATTATATAGGGTTAATTTATCTATTACAATGATATAGTTTCAGATATTCGATCGAAAAGTATTTTCCCAAGTTTAAAGTATACTGTTAATTAATATTATGTGTGTTCGTTATAAGAAACACAAATCTTTCATATTAAATCGTGTGGCTTAATTTTACAGCCAAATTTGAAAACAGAGAAAATAGTGCGATAATAGATTCTTTTTGGTTGGGCAATAATAAATTTATGGGTGTATATATGAACATTTGTTATTTGACAACAAAAAAAA